GGAGAGCAATGGGGGAAAAATGGGGACAACTATAATTGAACAACAGTAAAATAATATTGTCATGCTTATGTCTATGGTAGGTTTATTACTTTCCAGTCTTTTATGCATTTTATTTTTCTTGGCATCCTGCACTGGCTTAAATTTGCCGTGAAATGTTAGATATGGTGAGAGTGATCGTCTTAATTTCATTCCCAGTCCAAAGGCAAAGTTTTAGTATTTCACCCATAAGTTTAATGTTTCTTTTGCTAGGCATCTTTATCAGACTGATTATTTGTAATGATTATTAATTAAAAGAATATTTATTATGAATTGCAATTAAATTTCACTATATATTGAGGTAATAATATGTTTTTCCTTTTTTAATATGGCGAGTTACTGTACATTAGTTTTCTGAATGTTCAGCCAACCTTACATTGCTGGAATAAAACTGATTTTATCATAATGTATTACCTCTTTAAGGTATTGGTAGATTTCTTTTGCTAATATTTTGTGATTTTTTTCATGTACATTAATGAGGGAAGGTTGCCTGCATTAACTTTCTTACATATTCTCTTCAGGCTTGATGTCTAAGTCATCATGTATACCTCACAAAATTAACTGGAAGAAGTAGTCCCTAAGTCTTGTTTATTCTATGGGAAGATCTTATGTAATAGTGTCATTATTTCTTCCTTAAATGTTTGGTGGATTTCATCAGTGATACCATCTGAGCCTGGACTTGGAGGGGAGGAAGGTTGTAATTAAGATTCAGTTTCTTTGAATTCAGCAGTTACAGGACTATTTGTATTTCCTATGTTGTCTTTCTTCAGTTTTAATAAATTGTAATTTTCTAAGAATTTGTTGATTTTATCTAAATTTTGAAATTTACTATTCATAGTATCTTCTTTTTATTGTACTATCCTTTTGTTGCTGATTAATAGTACCAAGATATTTCAATTTTGTAAGTCTTTTCAAAGAACAAACTTTAGCTTTTTAAAAATTTTCATTGTGATTTCATATTTTACCCAGGTTCATTCAGAAATAATAGTGTTTAATTTCTAAATATGAGGTTTTCTTACTCTTTTTTTGTTATTGATTTATAGATTAATTCCACTGTGGTCATAGAGCCTACCCCATATAATTTCAATCTTTTGAAATTAATTGACAGTTGTTTTTGTACTCTGTGCAATTTTTGTAAATATTCCATCTGTGCTATGAAATAACATGTATTGCTTTTGAAGCAAAGCATTTATGTTTATTAGTTCAAAATTTGCTAATTGTTCTAAGTTTTCTATATGCTTTTTTTTCCCCTTTTTCAAGCAGTGACTATGAGTATGGATTTGTTTGTTTTCCCTCCTAGTTCTGCCAGTGTTTATATATTTTGAGGATATCATATTTACATACAGACTTATGTTATTTTTCTGCCATATTGAATCAGATATCATTACAAAGTATTAATCTTTTTCTCTAGTAATTTTTGTCTCTTAAAGTCTACTTTAGTAGCAGTATATCAAAGTATGTCTTGATGTTTGAATAAAATGGCTTTTTTTTAATGTTCCATATAATTTATTTATATTTTTTAAACATATTTTATTGATTATGCCATTACAGTTCTATTTTCTCCCTCATTCCACTCCACCCTGCACACCCCTCCCCCACCATTCCCCTCCTTTAGTTTATGACCACATGTCTCAAGTTCTTTAGCTTCTATATTTCCCATACTATTCTTGCCCTCCCCCCTATTTTCTACCTACCATCTATGATATTTATTTTCTGTACCTTCTACCCCCTTCTCCTTCTCTCACTCCCCTGTTGCTAATCCTCCATGTGATCTTCTTTTCTATGGTTCACTCTTGATCTAGCTGTCCTCCTAGTTTGCTTTTGTTTTAGGTGTGGTTGTTAATAATTGTGAGTTTGCTGTCCTTTCACTGTTCATCTTTTTGATCTTCTTTTTCTTAGGTAAGTCCCTTTAACATTTCATATCATGAGGGCTTGGTGATGATGAACTCCTTGAATTTGACGTTATCTGAGAACTACTTTATCTGTCCTTCCATTCTAAATGAAAGCTTTGCTGGACAGAGCAATCTTGGATATAGGTCTTTGGATGTCATGACTTGGAATACTTCTTTCCAGCCCCTTCTTGCCTGTAAGGTGTCTTTTGAGAAATCTGCTGACACTCTGATGGGAACTCCTTTGTAGGTGACTGTCTCCTTATCTCTTACTGCTTCTAGGATTCTCTCCTTCATTTTAATCTTGGCTAATGTAATGATGATGTGCCTTGGTGTGTTCCTCCTTGGGTCCACCTTCTTTGGGACTCTCTGAGCTTCCTGAACTTCCTGGAAGTCTATTTCCTTTGCCAGATTGGGGAAGTTCTCCTTTATTATTTGTTCAAATAAGGTTTCCACTCGTGACTGTTCCTCTTCCCCTTCTGGTACCCCTAATAATTTGGAGGTTGGAACGTTTAAAGATGTCCTGAAGTGGACCAAAAGGAAGAAAAAAATGACCAAACAGAAAAGGATAAAGAAACAAGAATTCAAAAAAATGAGGAGAGGCATAAAATGGCTTTTTTATTACTTTTGTGCTTTATAATTTAAATGATTCTAAATGACACCGTTGTTTTTTAAAATAATCTGTCTTTTAAATTTAGATTTTACATATAATTACCAGAACACATGCTTTTGTACCTACTGTCTGACTGTTTTTTATTTGATCCTACTTTCTTTTTCTGTTTAATTTAGTAAGTGTTGTGAATTGTTTTCTACTCCTTATCAAGTTGTTTGTTATACAGTCTTACTATTCTCTTAAGTAACTTTTTTCAGATTACAACATATATTATTGACATACCAATGGGTAATGACAATTTGCATTTTATACCTTCTTGGGACAGTATGTGAATCTTAGAACACTTAAACTTCATTTTCCCTCTCCCACTTTACATGCTTCTGTTGTTATGTATGTTAAACCTATCTATTAAGGCATTATTGTCTGATATAGCCAGTGGTCATTAGATTTACTGACTTACCCTTTCTGTTTATCTTCAGCTTGGCTTCCATCTGGGATCAGTTTTTATCTGAGGAACTTCTTTTAGTGTTTCCTCTAGTATACATTTGCTAGTGATGAATTATCTCATTTTTTTCCTGAAAATATATTTTTGTCACTGTCATTCTTGAAGGATATTTTTCTTGGATATGATTTTCTCTAGGTTGGCAGGTTTTTTTTCTTGAAACACTTTCAAATTATTCACTACCCTATCATTTCCATTGAGAAATTAGCTATCAGTCTTGTTATTATGTTGAAAGGTAATTATTTCCCCTTTTTGGTTGGTTTGATTTTTGTTTTCTAGCAGTTTTGCAACAATATACATGTATTTGGAGATCTTTTTATTTATCCTGCTTGGTTTTTATAGGCTTTCACTTCATGGTCTTTATTTAGTTATTTAAAAATTGTAAGCTGTTATTTCATCAAATATGCATCTACTGCTTTCCTCTCCTCTCCCTCTTCTAGCAACTCTTATTAATCACATGCATATGAGTCCTCTCAGTAATCTGTCTCTCGCTCTTCGCCGCTCTTTTGTTTCTCTTCATTCTAGATATTTATTCCAAATTACTTTCAGTTGACTGATCTCTATTTGGTGGTATCTGATTTGCTGTTAAATCCATCTTTCAATTATCAGTTTCTGTTCTGAATTTTTATTTCCCTTTTTTCTTAAGGTACAGTGCTGTGTTGGGCTTCTCAATCTTCCAGGGTTCTTTTTACCCTAAACAGTAACCAAAGTTTGTCTAGAGTTTTTTTGAATTTGGATTTGTTTTTGTTGGTTTTCATTCTAGTTTCCTAGCCTCCTCATGTACCTGGTTGTTTCTTTTTTTGTGGGTTGGTTTTTAGTTTTTTATCTTTTTATTTGAATATTTATAGAAATAATTTGAAATATCAGCTGTCACCTTTCTCCAGTAGAGTTTACCTTTGATTCTTTCTGTTCATTGTCTGAGCCACTAGCCTGTTATCATTCAGTCCACTTTCCAAGAGTGAGATAATTCAAAGCTGAGTTGCTTATTCATCGGGAGTCTGTTTGCTTTAGGTTCACCTCTGTATCTTAGGATATGCCCCCAAGAACAAAGCATTCTTAAATATAAAACTCACCTTCCAGGATTTCCATACTATTTTTTCATCCTGCTGAGTTATTTTTCACTTTTTGCTTGTTATCTCTCAAACATCTTTAAGCAGATGTCTTGAAATAATGGCTGTCTTCATCAGAAAGCGTAGGTCTGTCATTGGAAGCAATATTCTGTTTTATTCTCTTGGAAAAAACATGGTTTAGAGAAAGGTTAAATAATTTTCTCTAAAGTTACATATACGTTACTGTTCTGGGATTTTAATTCACATTCGTATTCAAAGCCTTTGTTCTTTTTGCTACATTACTCCAGTATTTTTAGACTGTAAATGAATGACATGTAAGAGCCACCATAGAGATCATCAACCATATTGCACATGCCAGGAAAAGTATAACCATAAAATGCCATTCATATTTTTATTATGGTTAATTCTGATCAAAACAGGCTAGTAAGTATACTTCTTATTAGGCACTAAATTCTTGATTGATAATTAAACCACAGTAAATGTCTTAATAAAGTTAACTATTTGAAAAAAATTAACATAAAAAGATCAGTAGTGTATCCTAAATTTCAAAATATGAAACCGTGAGTTGAAAATTTGTTACGTAAAATTTAAGCAAAATTGACTTCATATATAATTCAGCATTTTTTGTGAACATTATATTCCTATTCTTTCAACTTTGCCACACCCAGTGCCTAGTTTCTTAATGTTTTGTGGAATGTCCAGGGAAGAGGAACCTGAGATTAAGTCTAATATTGCAAGAAATATTTGCTAAATTATAGTTAATGTAGTGGTAGTAATTCTCTTCTTATATTGTCTTTTTATGGAAGGGACAGAAATTGTTGATGCTGTGAATTCTTTTCCCATTTATTTAAAAGTTGTGAATAATTTTATCTCTTTTTTTTCTAATTTAGGGATAAAGCAATTCCTAATAAAGTGGGAATATATTGTATCCAGTTTTGTTTTATGATGGATAAAGCAAATATTCTTAACAGTGAACAGGTTTGCTTATCTCTTTATATCCCATAATTAGCTTTACATTTTCTTGCTTAATTTAGGAGTGAAGTCTTTTGTTTTAAAGTGTATTAATTATTGGTTGCAGTTGAACTGATTACTGAATGCAAAGTATAAATAATGCAATTTTCAGGACCATTAGAATATATTTAAATTATGTTAATATGATCTGATGCAGAAGTTACTTTTTCAGTCTTTCTTTATATCAGAGATTCAGTTAGTAAGCATTTTAGTTTATATCTTGGTAAGGTAGCTCCTGTCAACCATACGTGAAAATTTTTCCATTAATATTACAAATACTAGAATTCTGGGTAATGAAGTTTGAGGTAGTTTTAACATACATAATCTCCATTTAATAAACTCCATTCTGGGTGATGAAGTTTAAGGTAGTTTTAACATACATAATCTCCAGTGTACTAATTTTTTTTTTTTTAGTTACCTGTCTGATACACCTTTTATCTTGAGTTTTTAATAGTTCACTTAAGATAAGAGATTAATGGAAATAAATTTTTTAAAGTTTTATTTAGTATATGCTATCATTTCTTCTCTTACTCTTGAATTCTAAACTGTCAATATATATTATTAATCAGACTGCTTCTTTTGTTTTGAAAGATTATAGTTGACATTCAACCTAATCAACCTGTGAAGTTAGTACCTAAAATTCAGCCAGCTACGCCAGCTGTTTCAAATGATCACTCAGTTGCCAACAGGACCCTGGTTAGAGATTTACATCTTATTATCACGGTAATGTTCATTTACTTCCAAAATTGAAAAGACAGCAAATTTCTAATTTGCTGGGCGCATTGGTTTCTAATTTCAGGGCGCAAAATAGTTATTAGGGAAAATTTGTGCAGATGAATGAAGTGTAAACATGTTTGAATACAAATAGAGAATGCGTAACACATAAAATATATTCAGCTATACTAAGTAAAACTGATTCAAAAATGTAAAAATCTATCTAACTCTCCTAGTATATCCTCTTTAAATCTCCTATTTCATGTATTTATTAAACATGTGTCAAGTAAATTGATTCTTCCATGTACATTTTCACTGAGGGGACAGAAGGAGGTAATTAAATAATTCTTTTTAAGAGATCTGTTTTGATAACCGATCATAGTGAGCTCCTCATAAGTGAGAGCTTCTGATTACCTGCAAAGTAAGCAGCAATAGAATTGCTGTGAATATTAACAAAAACAGGTAAAATACAGTAGTAGGATATCACCTTTATGGGAAATTCTGCTACTGGGATAATTAATTCCTTTCAGTTTATTTTCCTGTTGTAGACAAGTGAGTCATTCTTAACTTCTCTTCCCCAGATCAAGAGATGTAAAAGTACATAAAAAAGTGAAATTTTTAAATCAGAGTCCTTTTAATACACAGTTAGGAGCCATTTTATTAGCTAGAAGCTGCTGGTTCTTTCAGGGTTTCTGGGATAATTTTCTGCCCACAAGACCCTTAATCTGAGAATAGAATTCTCTGTTTGGAGTAAAGGATCAGGATAATTTAATATTTGGGGCTTTATAAATATATTTCTGCTTTGTATATATCCTTCTAGTATTAATCTTACTAGTTCTTCTAATTATTTATTTTCCATTGTTTGGTTTAAGGATGACTTCAACAACCAGACTGGAATTGATTTGGTTGGCACTGTAATAGCAACCATTAAAGGTTCTAATGAGGAAGATACTGATACGCCACTCTTTACTGGAAAAGTTAGAACACTTGAGTTTCCCTTTGTGAAAGGTTCAGCTGAAATCACGGTAATTTTTATGTCTTTTGGTAGATCAGATGTCTATATATATTTGTATTTCTTTGAAAAGCTACCATTCTGTGGATAGAGACAATAAAACATAGCCTATAAAATGTGTACATATCTTAGAAAAAATTAATAAATAAGCTTACCTTTGTTACTTTCTTTTAAAATGGAAATAGTTTTACTTATGAAAAATATATAGCGCAATAACTGAAAAATAATCACTATATTATCACTCTTTAGGGATAATGGTGATTAGCAATTTAGTATATAACTTCCAGACTTTTCTGTATAAATACTAACACTGCATGGATACTCTGTGTGCATATGACTTATATACATGGTATGTATGTAAAATTTCATTAATATAATAGAACATTGCTTTTATAAAAATCTTTTCCTATCTAACATACCTTTCATATATTTCATCAGTAAATATAAACCTAAATCATTGTATTGATGATCATATTTATTTAATCGATCCTAAGTGAAAATTTAATTTTTTCCCAAAGCTTGTTTTATCAACAGTGCTTGCATCAGCTTTCTTTTATGTTTATCCTTTTGCATATATCTTATTATTTCCTTCAGAAATTGCTAGAACTAAATTGGAGACAGAGCCTTTTGGTAGTTACTGCCAGTTACTCTTCAGTTTATATGCCCTCCAAAAGTATGTGTACATCCTAATAATATCACCAGTCCTCAATATGAAGTTTTTAAAATTCTAACTGATTTTCCTATATTTAAAAAATATATTTTCTTTATTTACTAGTAAGGAACATTTTTCATGTTATGATCTTTGTAGGATTGTCCCTCAACTCTTTCTTATGGAATGGTCATCATTTTCTTAATTTTTATTAAAGATATTAATGCTCTTTATATATAAATATTTTTCTTTAGTTTGTCTTTTATTGGGGCTTTGTTTATATTGGGGCAGGAGGAAGGATTCTATTCACAGTGCTAGCTCCAATATTCTTATGCATTTACGTTTTATTTGTCTGAATTTTATTGTTTTCAAATTAATTAACTAAATTTATTGGTGTATGTGTTTAATAATTCTTGTACCAATAAATTTGAAGAGGCACCTTGTGTACTTTTTGGTCAGCTTTATATCCAGTCCTAACACCACTTTTTAAAAAATTATAGTTGACATATGATATGTTCATTTTAGATATACAATATATCCCATTGTTTAAGACCTGGCAATACTGACCCAAGATTCTCTATGGCAGCAGGACTTTCCAGTTAGCTGTATCTATGCCACTTTTCATTTCTTGACATTAGGAGCAAGTGTCAGCTGATACTTTTATTTATGCTTGTTTGTTTGTTTTTATTATAGTGGAGAGTAAAGTGAAATTTTCTTATACTCTAGCAAAAATTAGGTAATGATAGCCACATTACCTTTGTTGGAAAACAAAAAAAGGGGCAAGACATATTGAACCTCAAAGTAGGTTTGTTTTAGAGAAATACTCCTAGCTTGCTTTATCTCATTCCTATATACATTTGTCCTGTTTCCTTGGCCACCCTGTAAGTTTTTCAAATTGCTAACCCGGCTAACAGCACCTTTCTGATGTTGCTATGGTGACTTAAGCAGTTCCCCTTCGGCTGGATACAAAATCTAAGCTTCATGTCATACATAAGATTTTCCACTAGAGGTTCCCAGTGTCACACTGGACAAGCAGGAAACTGTCAAATGCTGCTTCGCTCCTGACCCCATTTGTTGATTTAGTAGGTTTGGGGCAGGACTCTGGAATCTGATTTGTAATAAGCAAGTGACTCTTATGACTAGGTACACTCAGGAAACACTGGCCCAGAATACAGCCAGTATTTGTGAATGTTACACATTTGCATGAAAAGAACTTGTACTGCTGTTTAAGTTATAACCTGAATATATAATTGTTTGTTTGTTAATTGTGTCATTCAAATTATTTATATTATTTGCATACTTTATCTGGAAATTTCTGAAAGACGTATCTAAGTTTCATTTTGCTACGCATTTGTCTATTTATTGCATTCCAAATTCCCATTTGTACATGGATTCAGTTCGGGACTCTTCAGTTCTCTTCATTTCTGTTATCCTGTGTTTGCTTTTTTCTTAATAAGCTGTATATCAGAGATTATAAACTATAAAACTTTGAACTTTTTAACTATGTTTAAAGTTCAAACTGTATACTGTAAATGTATCTTCAGAATTAAAAGAATATTGGTGATGTGTTAATAGTTGTTGACACTGAATGATGTTATATAGAGATTCATTATATGATTGTATAATAAAATTTTAGAGATGATAAATTGGGTAGAAATATTGCTATATATGTATTGCTATGTATATGTATAGCAATATTTCTATATATAATACAGGATTAATATATTAAGCATGTTTTTTTTCAAACTCCTAAAAAACTTCCTGCAAATCAAAGAAAAAATGCAATCTAGTGGACAAGTAATTGACCAAGAATATTATTAGCAGGCAAATAATGGAAGGGAAAGTGTAAATGACTGATAAACAATAAGCATGACCTCAGTGTCAGTCATGGAAATATGCTAGTTAAAGCAGTAATGACTAGTCGTTTTTAATCCATCTTTTTAAAAAAAAATACTTGATTGATATTAAGTGTTGGCCAGCATCAGAGGAGCTAAATATTTTTATATACTAATGCTAAAAGGATAAATGGATAAAGCCTTTTTGAAAGGAAATTTGATAACTACCTATTAAACTGTTTTAATAATTAATATTTCTTATCTATTCTAGAGAACACATAAGTATTAAAAGATATTTTCTTTGCTATGCTATAAATAATAGCTAAAAATTTTTAAACAAACTAAATATTCATCATCCAGTAAAAGGTCATCATAGTATAGTATATCTGTCTATACTATCCATAAATTATAAAAATTAGTATCTAGACATTCACTGGAATTGATCAACAAATCAAGTGCCGAAAGCAACTTACTAAAGTATGAAGTGTATGTTATTTTCTAAATGCAAGCAGTATTTTATTTTTATATGTGTTTATATTCATGTAAATACACTGAAAATACCTTTTTCAGACACTAAGTGGGATTAGAGATCAGTTTAATGATGGGCTTGTAATCTATATTTGTAAAAAAAGAATTGTTATCTATAATTTGTAGTTTTGTTATTTTGTGGAATAGCAAGTTCTGTTGATGTACATATATTTTTTTAAGTTTCATTTATCTGAATTGTATTATTGTCTGAAAAACAGCTAAAATCTGTTTACTGCAAGACTAGAAAACTTATTGAGGATGTAAATATTTATATTTGCATTATTTACTAATTGTATGCTATTTTAAAGTAAAGTGTATTAAAAGTGTTTTTGTGTGTGTGCACTAATGAAGAAAATAGTTTTTTTAAAAAACAAGTCTTTAGAGCTTTTCAGGGCCTCTTATTTGGTCACCTGGGACTGGTGGGTCTACTTCCCTGGTAACAGCTGTAACTTAAACTCAGCCCTGGGCTTTGGGCATTTCTTTGTGGTTGTTTTTATAATTTTCACACCATCAGCTGTTTCACACTGCTTCAACTTAAAGGTTGAAATCAAGAAGATTTTGCGGGTCAAGATGCAAGTGGCCACTGGTATTTCTAGTCTGAAATAAAGGTAAAATCTTTCATGAATCTTAAGGTTCATCGGTGTTAAAATTTACCACTTACTTAGAAACAGCACAATGAAAGATATAACATTTTTACATTGCCAAATACCTTTGTAACTTTTTTTTGTTACTGTTCTTTTTCTTTATTTAGAGTCTAGTGCTGGCAGAAAATAGTCCTGGAAAGGATAGTACTGAGTATTTTATTATATTTGAACCTCAGCTACCAGCTTTATCAAGAACATTAGAATCATATATTCTACCATTTATGTTTTCTGATGGTAAGTTTCTAGGAAAATTAGAGGATTACACTCTCCTGTGTTTGTGGTACTTTAGATAACCTTGATTTGCTTTTCATTAATATTGTATTTATCAGTTATTTAGACATGACACATATTGGAAAAATCACAAATTTTAATTTGAAGTAAATTATCTGAATTTTTTTTTTAGATGTTAAGAAACAACAACAACTGCTAGCATTTGCCAAACAAAAGGATAAATTATCTCGATCTATTGAAATCTATAGAGGTGTATTTGAAACCAGCAGACAGCTTATTGATGAAATGAAGTGTAAGTCATTTTGTATTCAAAGGTAATAAAAATTATGCTTTGGGGAACAATGAAGCATAAGGTTGAGACCAACCTTCTCTTCAGAGGAGAGACAAGCTGTTTCTTTTTCTAGACAAGTAAACTGCAGAACATGACAAAGGTAGTAATTACGGTTTATAGTATTCTTCATTTGATTTACTTGAGATGAAGTATTTCTTCATTTCAAATGAATTTACACCCTCTTTTCCTTTAAAAATGTGATTTTTTTCTAAATTAGAAATCTGTGAAATTTTAAGACTTTGGCATGTTTATATCTAGCTCCAGCTTCTGGCAAAGATATTAGATGACAATATCACTGGAGGATTTGTAACGCGATTCTTACTTTGAGTAATGAAACTGTGTGTTTTACTTTATCTTAACTTATCACACTGTGGAGGTGTACAGGGTAGCACACTCTAATATAGTAACATGCAGCTCATTTTTTGTCAATACATGGAATGTTTGCTGTAATTTTTAATGTTTGTAGACTGTTAAGGTAAGGCATTTGCTGAGTTGTGCTCTGTCATCTTCATTTGTCAGAATTTTTGGCTATGGTTTTTGGCTTTATGTTAATTACATAGTTAAAATTTTGACCCATAACCAACAAATTTGTATTTACCCACATCAGAGTATACTCACTTTTGTATTATCTATCCAATGTCAAGGATATTTAGAAGATTATAGGAACTATGGAGAGTAATGAGATAATACATTATTCATAGCACTAAAAATTATTTTTATAAAGTCTTACTTGTTTCTCAGACTAACCTTAATGCAGTTATGTATGGTCATGTGGATTAGGATTAAATAATTTAGTCAAGAGGACTTGAAGTTTTTAGTACAATATATCTCTCTTAACCACATTAGTTTTGTTTCTTAATTACTTATTTTTCATTTTAGGTCAATCATTGAAAGGGAGACAATGAAATAGTACTGAAAATATTTTTTAAAACTATATTTTGGGTGTTATTACACATTGATGCAGGGGTTTTTTTGTTTTTAATTTTAGGCCAAGTAGAAGGAGCAAAATTAAAAGAAGCCCAGTTGCGAAATGAACTAAAAACACATCATATTGACATTCCTACAACACAACCGGTACAGTTTCCAAGTATATGTGAATGATTTTTAAAATTAATTCTAGTCTATAATTTTTTTACCATTATATTTTATTAGGATTGTCATAGGCACTATTGTTTTTGCGTACAAAGACATATGTAGAGCGTAGTCTGGTCATTAACTAGACATTAAAAAGAACTAACAAAAGAGTGCTTTTTAAAAGAAATACAGTTTGTCTTTAGAAATACAGCTTGTATTTCTAATGTAATGACGCCAGTAAGTGAAATTAATAACACACCTACTTGTGAATTGCATTGAAAAGACGGTAGGTTATAATTAATATAGGTGGTGGCAAAGAAAATGAGATAAAGTAACAAAAGACAATAGAATATTTTAAACTTACATTCTTTCATGTATAGGGTGGGGCAAAAGTAGGTGTACAGTTCATATAGAAAATAAGACAATAATAGATAATAATACAAGAAAAAACTTTTGCATACTCTTAACTATAAACCTACTTGAGCCCCACTTTGTATATAACTCAGTTTCAAAGAGAAGTTCTGTTATACGTTGTATATTTCTTAACAAGATATAAAAGTAATACCTGTTTAGTAACTTTATTATTGAGTTGTCCAAATTGTTGACTTTTCTTTGCTCTCATTTGGAGTGCCTGATACAAGAGTACTTGGTCTTGTAGTTAATTTTCCTTTACGAATTACAGGTACCACACATTGAAGCACTTTTGAAAAGAAAGATATTAGACCAGGAAGAACTAAAGAAAAAACCTAGAAGATCATGTACTCTTCCAAACTATACTAAAAGCAGTGGAAATGTTTTAGGAAAGGTTTGTATTTAAGCTTTTAAAGAGGCAGTACATTTTATTGTCTTGTTTTGTCAAAATGTGTTTTAAAATGACATTATAATAGGAGCGTTAATTTCTTTGTACGGTGTAATTTTTTCTAACAAATTACTTGCTCTTATTACCATAATAGGGATTTGGCAGAATTTAAAACTGAAATGCATACTTAATCCCATAATTCTTATCACTATTGGAGGCTGTGGCAGAAATTGTTAACGTGTCTTAATTCAATGCGTATTGTCTACTTAGAGATGCTTTCATATCATATGGCTTAATAGGTCGCCAAGAACTTTCCCTGTGACTCAGACTTCAGTGAGAAAACAGAAGAGAAAGAAATATCAGGATTTGTCTGAGTCTAATACTGATAGAGAGTGAATTCTTAGATGCTCCTAGAATTTAAGAAAAAAATAACAAAAAAAACCTTTATACATGTTTGCTGCCAAAACAGTCATTCTTCCTTTTCTTCTATTCCCTTTTTGGTTCTGCTTTATTCAGTCTTGAACATTCTACTGTACAGAAAGTGTTTCTTACAGTTGTCCCTAACATCTTGTGTTTTTAATGGTGTTGAGGTTTCTGTTATATATGTAGGTATGTTTTACTTGTTAAACTTTCCATTTAACATGCATCTTAGCTTTCTGCTTTTATCTCTGTCTTTAAAATTGAGGAAACTGAAACTGAGGTACAGTTTTGAAACTTGCTCCAGGTGACATAAGAAGCAAGTGGCAGAGCCTACACTCAGCCTCAGCTGGTCTGACTCCAAAGTCTATGCTGTTTATTACCATCCTTTACTTTTACTGCTTTCGAACATCATTCTTTTACAACCACTCTGAACTTTTTATAGTATTTCTGTTTTTACATGAGGAAATTAAAGTTCAGAGAATTTGAATAACTTGTCAATGTATGTTTAGTAAGAAGCAGAACTTAGACATAAACAAGTCTTTCTGACTCCAAAGTCCATGGTAGGTTTTTTGAAAGATTTTATTTATTTTTAGAGAGGGCAAGGGAGGGAGAAAGAGAGGGAGAGAAATATCAGTGTGTGGTTGCCTCTCAAGCACCCCCACACTGGGGACCTAGCCACAATCCAGGCATTTGCCCTGACTGGGAATCGAACTGGCAACCCTTTGGTTCACACTCTGGCACTTGTGGTAGTTTTTATATAAATGGTTCTGTATATCACAAGCAAACTACACACTGAAAATAGGGAATAATGGTTACTCTAAAAGTATGTAGCAGTGTTTATTACCTAAACTGTTACATTATTATCCAAACCCCAAATATAATTGGAAAATTAAGAATGTAAATTTATAAAGCAGAAAAGTTTATAATTTATGTTTTAAATTGTTATTCCTCAGAATCAATTTATAGAATTCCTTGTAAAGATTTTATTTACTTATTTTTAGAGAGAGGGGAAGGGGAGGGAAAAAAGAGAGAGAGAAACATCAGTGTATGATTGCCTCTCATGTGCCCCTTACTGGAGACCTGGCTCACAACGCAGACATGTGCCCTAGACTGGGAATTGAACCGGTGACCCTTTGGTTCACAGGCCTGCACTTAATCCGCTGAGCTACACCAGCCAAGGCTCAATTTAGAAAATTTATAGAAAGAAACAGTCTTTATAGAAAGAAGTAGTCCTATGATTCTAAGCATACTGATATTTATAATAGTCTGGTTTTAGGTACTAACATTCCACATTCAGTGGTTCATTTGATAAAATTCTTGCTAATTATATAAGATTTTTACCAAAATATAAAATAAAATTTTTAAGTCTTCTCTTCATATGTTTCTTATCACATCTTGAAAATCAGGGATGAAGTTTTGAAGGTTTTTTTAATGTGTAAGTATATTTTATTGATTATTTTATTATAGTTGTCTCAATTTTTTTCCACTTTGCCCTCCTCCACCTGATAACTCCTTTCCCTCCAGAACCCCTCCTGCTTATTAGTTCATGTCCATGGGTCGTGTATATAAGTTCTTTGGCTTCTCTATTTCCTATGCTGTTCTTAACTTCCCCATCTATTTTGTACCTAGCAATTATGCTTCTTAATCCCTCTACCCATTCCCCCATTCTCCCCTTTTTCCTTCCCTGGTGATAATCTTCCATATGATCTCCATATCTATGATTCTGTTCCTTTTCTGGTTGTTTGCTTAGTTTGTTTTTTAGATTCAATTGTTGGTAGTGGTGAGTTTGCTGTCATTTTACTGTTCATAGTTTTGATCTTCTTTTTCTTGAATAAGTCCCTTTAACATTTTATATAAGGGCTTGGTGATGATGAACCCTTTAGCTTTACCTTGTCTGGGAAGCACTTTAATTTATCTACCCTTCTATTCCTAATGATAGCTTTTCTGGATAGAGTAATCTAGGTTGTAGGTCCTTGCTTTTCATCACTTTGAATACTTCTTGCCATTGCGTTCTAGTCTGCAAAGTCTCTATTGACAAATCAGCAGTCTTATGGGAACTCTTTTGTAGGTAACTCTGCTTTTCTCTTGCTGCTCATAAGATTCTCTGTTATCTCTGTATATTTTTATGCTGTATTCATGTACAATATCATAAATTTAAGTAAATGAATAATTAAAAGAGAAAAGCAAAAAGAGATTCTCTCTTTATCTTTAACCTTTGGTGTTTTAATTATGATGTGTCTTGGTGTGGTCCTCTTTGAGTTCAGCTTGTTTGGGACTCTGTGCTTCCTGGACTTGATTGCTATTTCCTTTTCCAAATTATGGAAGTTTTCGTTCCTTATTTTTTCAAATAAATTTTCAATTTCTAGTTCTTCTCCTTTCTGGCATCCCTATGAATCCGATGTTGGCACTTTTGGAAAAGTCTCCAGAGTCTTATTAGTCTCCCCTTGTCTTTCTGAAGTCTTGTTTCTTCCTTCTATACTGGTTGACTGTTTATTTCTTATGTTCCAAATTGTTGATTTGAACACTGGCTTTCTTCCCTTCACCATTGGTTCCCTATGGATTTTTCTTTACTTCACTTATTGTAGCTTTCATTTCTTCCCTTATGCATTTCTCTGCATACTCAGTTCTCTGGGTCCTTATCGCCAGTATTTTGAACTCTGCATCTGATAAGTTGGCAATTTTTATTTTGCCTAATTTTCCCTCTGAAGTTTTGATCTTTTCTTTCATTTGGGCCATATTTCTTGGTCTCCTCAGTTTGGTGGGCTCCCTGTGTTTGTTTCTGTCTATTAGGTAGAGCTGCTTTGACTCTGTGTCCTGATGCACCTGTTACATAGTAACTTTCTGTATTTGCCAAGGCAGGGCACCCACTTCACCACTTTATGGCACTATATGTGGGGGAGGGGTTGGAGAAGGAACAATGCCACTTGCTCGGCCCTTGCCCTGTTTCAAGTCACTTCACCCACTTCCCGTGTGCATCTGGCACCCCTCTAGTTATTGCCCTGTTGGTGGTTCCCAAAGTGGGTGGGTTTACATATATTCTAGGACTGTGGGGTCCTTTAAATGGACTCTCCTAAGAGACTGGCAGTTTCTTCTGCTGTGCCAGTCCCCACTGGTTTCTACAGCCAGAAGTTACGAGGCTTTATTTCCTGGTGCTGGAAACCTGGGCTGTTGCAGTCTGGCAGTCTGGATGAATATTTTTCTTCTTTAATCTTTCATACAGTTTGATTTACCGGCAGTTCTGATTGTTTTTTGTTTTAAGGTGAGCTGTTACCCTTCTTATGGTTGTGCTAGGAGGCTAAGCATAGCTACCTATGTCTTCATCTTGACCAGAGTCTCCAAAATTTCATTTTATATAGCTTCTTCTCTGTCCTTTTAGAAGTACAAGCCGTGTCCTAACCAATGAGAAAATGTTTTCAAATCATGCTTAATCTAATCTCTTTTTAAAAAAATTTGGTGGGGGGGGCATTTATCCAAAAACTAGAATAAATAAGTGTGGAATTAGTAGGACACAGGAGATTTACAGTGTATTTATTTTTAACAGAGTGACTACCTCCACTAACTTGGATATTTTAGTGTTGCTTTCTTATTTACAAATATCCTGAGTTCCCATCTATATTCCATTCATCTCCCATCCCTGAGGAAGAATTACTAGCGTCCATGAAAATAGCTAGGGTAGCCCTGGCCAGTGTCGCCTGGTTGGAGCATTCTCAAAACCAAAAGGTTGTGGCTTCACTTCCTGGTCTGGGCACGTACCTGGGTTGCAGTTCGATCCCCAGTCAGGGTGCATACAATTCCTAGTCTAGGTGTATGTGGGAGACCACCAGTCAGTGCACCTCTCACATGGAAGTGTCTCTCCCTCCTTCTCTCTCATTTCCTTCCTCTCTGAAAGCAATTTAAAAATGTCCCTGGGTGAAGAGAAGGAGGAGGAGGAGGGGGAGGAAGGAAATAGCTGGGGTAGACTGAAGCTGAAAAAGTAGTTAAAGCTTAAATGAATGAAACACTGTATGTGTTACACAGCTTTAAAAAAGTGAGTGCATGTCTTAGAAAGGATTAGTTTTTTGAAAAAAATAAAAAAATACTTTGTGTTGACTGAAAGCTTAAGGAAAAAGTATAGTGTTAAGGGGTCTACTGCGAAATTACAATCATATCTTCACTTAGAATTAATTACCAATTAAAAGATTAAGGTGATTGTGAACAATCACAAAATGGATACCTTCTGTCCTAGTACTTGCAGTCAAAAATAGAATGAGGTCACTGAATTTGATTTGCCACTACTAATTCTTCTTTTGCTTGCTAGAACATTTTTTATTTACATGTGCTAGTTCCTTTGCATGTATGTTTTCTTACCTTTTTCCACTAACTTCAAGAGAATTGGAGTACAAGGGTAGATATTATGATGTTTCTAAAACTGACAGACAACTTTCTCATTGCTAGAGCAGGTTTTCGCCACCAGATCTAGTAAGAAGAAAGGGTAGATGACCAGTGCAGTGAGTAAGGTTTTTAAATTGGCCACAAAATTTCAACCCTGTTGGACTTTGGTCAAGAATGCTTAGGACTAAAGTGTTTGTAAGTAGGAAGGTAGTTATTTAGCCTAAGCTTCAAAGTATTCTTACAAGCAGAGGAAATTATTCTTATTTGTGATGTTTAGATTTGTATTCTGAAAGAAATACTATGGCCTTGTAGTAAAATATCTACTTAGGGACTGTCTGATATATAACTGTATGTTTAATTGAATCTTAAAACTCCATTTATTGTGTGTGTGTATTATTTAAATGTATTTTATGGTAACTTAATTAAAATACATTCCCAATAGTAGAGCTATTAAATGTGAAAAAAAATTAATTAGATGATAATATTCCAAATACTTTTATTTGCTCATTTGTAGTATTTATTGGAGTTTAATCTGTGGAACAGTTTTTCCAAAATTTAACAGCGTAATAGACAGTTTAATATTCAAGTCAGTAAGTTTTTACAGATTGATAATTTTTTTATTAATTCATATGAGTGTTTCAGAGAAGTGTTTTTGCTCCTTAGACTTGGACTTTAAAAATACTTAATATCAATTTTTTTTTGCATTTAGACTTTTATACTTGATTTTTTTTTAATGTGTTGTAGATTGCACACCTGGCACAAATTGAAGATGATAGAGCTGCAATGGTTATTTCTTGGCATCTGGCAAGTGATATGGATTGTGTTGTCACCCTGACTACTGACGCTGCACGTCGTATCTATGATGAAACCCAAGGCCGTCAGCAGGTGTTGCCCCTTGATTCTATTTATAGGAAGACTCTTCCAGATTGGAAAAGGTTAGAAAAAAATGGAAGTAATGATTTTTTCTGAAATATCTTTTTTTTAAACAAAGCACAGAATTTAAAAGTGATTTCTGTAAAAGATGCCTAAAACTGAGAAGTGACTCAAATCATTGACATTATTTTGTCTTCATCTCTATCACAAATGTATAAACTTTATTAAGATCAGTATTGTAGTGTACTCAATTATATATGCTGACCATGTTTAAGTTGCTAATTAAATGTTATTTGTATATATGAAACAGGCAAGCACATGCATGTACAAACCCAAAGCAAATTTTGGGTTTTGGCAACAGCAAGGAAGAAAAGATTTCATTATGATTAACAGAATATGAAATTGCTTTATTTGGAGTAGGAGTATAGATGCATGTCTTTTGTTCCATTTATATAATGTGAAAATAACCAGACTTCATTTAGGTAGAGAGGGTCTCTATGGGAAATGCTGGTGACAAAGGCGAAGTGGAGTATTTCGGAGTTAGGATGTTTCATTCTAATTTCTATATAAATATGGTTCCTTTAAGTAATTATTTATTTGCTTTTCAAAGTATGTTTTTAGATATAACCATGCAAATCAATTAGGTATTATTAATCTAAATTTTTTAATATAGTATTTGTACTTTGATTTTGACTTTTTTATAATCTACCTTGAAAGACTGAAAGAAAATGGTAACAAAACAAAAAATTAAAATGTATAACAGGAAATAGAGACTTCCGGCCAAGGTGGAGGCGTAGGTAGACACACTATGCCTCCTCGCACAACCAAAATAAGGACAACAAAAATTTAGAAACAAAAAAACCAGTACTCACAGAAAATTGAACTGTATGAAAGTCCAACAACCAAGGGGTTAAAGAAGAAACATTCATCCAGAGCGGTAGGAGGAGCAGAGTCAGGAGGGCAGGTAGAGAGGACTTGAGGCAAAACTGCGGCTGGTGGACCCCAGGCACAGGGTGGCAGCAGGCAGATGCAGCAAGGTGGTGGATTGTGGAGGGGAGCAGTGCACAAGGTGGCTGGTGGATTGGGTGGTCCCACATGCGTATGCAGATAAACCAGGCAAAACTGAGGAGTAAGGCAGACAGCACAACCCAGGGCTCCAGTGTGGGGAAATAAAGCCTTAAAACACCAATTTAAAACACCTGTGGGGGTTTAGGTGCAACAAGAGACTCCCAGCCTCATAGGACAGTTTATTGGAGAGACCCACAGGGTCCTAAAACATACACAAACCCACCCACCTGGGAATCAGCACCAGAAACGCTCAGTTTGCTTGCAAAGTAGTGGAAGTGAATGAAATCTGGCAGAGAGCAGAGCAAGCACCATTGTTCCCTCTCGGACCCCGCCCCCACATAGTGCATCACAACCCAGTAACTGGATTGCCCCGCCCTGGTCAACACCTAAGGCTCCATCCCACACTACCTAAGGGCGTGCGAAGACAAAAAATGGCCCAAAGAAACAGATCAAAGCTCCAGAAACAATACAACTAAGCAAGGAAGATATAGCCAACCTGTCAGATGCACAGTTCAAAGCACTGGTGATCAGGATGCTCACAGAATTGGTTGAATTTGGTTGCAAATTACATGAAAGAATGAAGGCTACACTAAGTGAAATAAAGGAAAATGTACAGGGAACCAATAGTGATGAGAAGGAAATTGGGACTCAAATCACTCGAGTGGACCAGAAGGAAGAAAGAAACGACCAAACTTAGAAAAGAATGAAGAAGTAAGAATTTAAAAAAAATGAGGACAGGCTTAGGAACCTCCAGGAGATCTTTAAATGTTCCAACATCTGAATTATAGGGGTACCAGAAGGGGAAGAAGAAGAACAAGGGGAAAGGTTATTTGAACAAATAATAAAGGAAAACTTCCCCAATCTAACAAAGGAAATAGACTTCCAGGAAGTCCAGGAATCTCAGAGAGTCCCAGAAAAGTTGGACCCAAGAAGGAACACACCAAGGCACATCATAATTACATTAGCCAAGATAAAAGTGAAAGAGAGAGTTCTAGAAGCAGCAAGAGATAAGGAGACAGTTATCTACAAAGGAGTTCCCATCGGACTGTCAGCTGATTTCTCAAAAGAGACCTTGCAGTCAAGAAGGGGCTGGAAAGAAGTATTGCCTTTCCAATTCAGGAAAGGCAAGGACCTACAATCCAAGATTGCTCTATCCAGCAAAGTTTTCATTTAGGACAGATAACGTGCTTCTCAGATAAGGTCAAGTGAAAGGAGTTCATCATCACCAAGCTCTTATTCTATGAAATGTTAAAAGGACTTATCTAAGAAAAAGAAGATCAAAAACACGTTCAGTTAAATGACAGCAAACTCACAATTATTAACAACCACACCTAAAACAAAAACAAAAGCAAACTAAGCAAACAACTAGAACAGGAACAGAACCACAGAATGGAGATTACATGGAGGGTTAGCAACATGGGAGTGGGGGGGGGAAGTTACAGAGAATAAGTAGTATAGATAGTAGATAGAAAATAGACGGGGAGGGTAAGAATAGTAAGGGAAATGTAGAAGCTAAAGAACTTATAAGTATGACACATGAACATGAACTAAAGGGGAGAATGTGGGTGGGAGAGGGTGTGCAGGGTGGAGGGGAGTGAAGGGAGAGAAATGTAACAACTAATAGCATAATCAATAAACTATATTTAAAAAATAAAAATGTATAACAGTATTCACCAATTTTCTCAGATTTTAAACAAAGCTTTTCAAGGCCTACAATTCTATAGCAATAGGAACTTTAAGGGGAACAGGAACTCATTAAGAGTACTATGTTATTAAACTAACATTTCATTTTGTAATATAAAAATAGATTAAAGAAGCAACTGGAATTTTCTGCTTCTAAAATTTCTCACTGTGTTACTGGTCAGTACCCATTTTAAACGACATAGGAAATCCCATCCGATCATGAGTACTGTGTTTTGTGAGGATGATTTTCCCTCTAGGAGGGCTTGTTTTATGTCTATAATCCCTAAACACCAAATTAAGAATTCATGATTTAAAATAAGTATGAATTTAGTACTCAGGGCTAATGTTTGCCCTAGCAACTACTTCTCTTCTCTTCTCTTGGTATTGTACCTCTAACTGGGATTGAATTAACTAGTTTCTAGAGCCATCCTTCCCTCCAGCACTTCTATCTTCAAGATCTGGAAAAAACTACATTATTTGGAAAGGAAAGGTCCAGCCCCCCAGCCAACCTTCATCTCTTGAATCCCATTGTTACCTCTGGCCTGCAGTTGCTCCTTGTACATGCTGTGTGGGAAGAACAGAGAGCCAGACCTCTGAGCTAGCTCCCTCACATGTGTCTCAGCCTTGAACCTGCCCCTTCCTTCATCCTATGGCCCCTCCCTATGACACCGTTATATCATTGGCATTCCTATTTAGGTCCAGCTTTAGAGGCTGCTTTTCTTCTTGTGTTGTCAAACTAAACAACAGTTAGTTTATATTGATGTTCAAACTAGTTGAGGATAGTAGTACAGATTAAACTATAAGTCGATACTTTAATATGGTAAATATTGTTTTCATTTCTAAGGGCATAATAATCATTTAGTAGTTTTACTTGTGGATGAGGAGTTTATTAAATGATCAAAATAATATGTAATGTATTAATGTTTTCCATATTTTAAATCAAAAAGTTGTATAAGTTTTGTTTCATACTTTTAAATTTTTCTTTTCATTCAGACCTCTGCCTCATTACCGAAATGGAAAATTATATTTTAAACCCATTGGAGATCCAGTCTTTGCCCGAGATTTGTTAACATTTCCAGATAACATAGAACATTGTGAAACAGGTAAAGGAAATTATTTTATATAGATGTGATATTTGTGAACCAAAGTTATAAATTACTGATTATGGAATTTATGTTTTTATTTAGTTTATAAGTAATAGTTTTATTAATGTTTAATTCAGTTTTTCCAATTATAGGTAAGTGTTGAATAAAATTCTATTATTAGCATTCTTTGTAAGAAAAATGTTCAGTTTGTGTTAATACTTTAATATGACCAAAGAAGATTTCATAATTTTAAAATTTTATTTGTTGAATTTTTTAGTATTTGGTATGCTATTAGGCGACACCATTATTTTGGATAATTTGGATGCTGCCAATCATTATAGAAAAGAGGTATGTATTTGAATCTTTTTAAATTTGTAACTCTAATTCTAATATGTAGTTTTAAATTTTAATATATTATAGACCTATATGGAATAATCTTATGACACATGCAAATAACTAAGTAATCTTGTCAAAACCAATTTAAACCCTACATATTGATAAGCAACATAAAATTGGGGACAATGTGAATGCACCAACATGCAAGTTAAAATTAGATGTTTTGGGGCTATGAAATGGTCTGCAACTCAAAACATCTATTATTGATGATAGTATTGGAAAAAGCATACTCTCAGATAATGTTGGTAGAAATGTAATTGTATATAGCCCTTATTTATTAATTGTTAGGGCGGCTGTAACAAAGTACCACAGACTGGCTAGCTTAAACAATAGAAATTCGTTGTCTCTCAGTTGTGGAGGCTTGAAATACGAATTCAAGGTATGAGCAGGATTGATTTCTTTCTGAGGGCTATGAGGGAAGGATGTCTTCCAGGCCTCTGTCCTTGCTTGGTAGATGGTCACCTTCTTCTGTTCACATTGGTGCATAACTGTTTCTTCCTATAAGGACACTACTCACTAGATTAGGTCCTGACCTAATTACCTCATTTTAGTTTGATTACTTTTGTAAAGACATTATTTTCAAACAAGGTTACATCCTGAGGAACTTGGAGGTTAGGACTTCAACATACAAATTTTGAGATACACCATTCAAACCCTAATACCTTTGAAGGCACAGTTTGGCATTGTGAATGTTTCACTCATCAACTGCTACATAACAAACACTTCAAAAGTTGCTTTAAACAGTAACAACATATTAGTTCTCATGTCTCTGTGGGTTTCTGGTAGTGATGATCCTTTCCCAATAAACTGGAACCCCAAAGGGCTAAACCTTAGAGTAAGGGTAAGCAAAGAAATATACCTTCCCATCTCAACTCCAAGTGCCTCTGGAGACTGGCTGCAAGAAAATTGCCTCTCCGGCCCTAGCTGGTGTGGCTCAGTGGACTGAGTGCCGCTGGCCTGGGCACATACCTGGGTTGTTGGCCGAAGTCCCCAGTAGGGGGGGTGTGAAAGGCAACCACATCGGTGTTTCTCTCCCTCTCTTTCTCCCTCCCTTTCCCTTTCTCTAAAAATAAATAAATAAAAATCTTTAGGGAAAAAAATGTCTCTCTTGAACCTTCAGCACTAAGTAGAAGGAAAGAAAAAAATACTAAGTTGTTTTCCTAGAGAATTCAGTATAAACAAATCCACCCTTGTGTATGTTTGCAATCTGTATTCCTGATACTGGGATGGTCTGAAAAGCCTGAAGGTAAACATTTGGTTTCATATAATGCTGAACTGCTAGTGTCCTTAGATATCTAATCAGAGGAAACAGTTCTTCTGGAGGAATTCACCTTTATCATAGAACTATAATAATTTTTATTTTGAATATAAAAGCAAATTTTAAAAACATATTTAATATAGTTCAAGAAGTGGAAGTGTTGAAAATTAGGAAAGAACAAGTCCACTGAAAAATTGGGACAACTATAACTGAATAACAACAAATCAAATAAAGCTTCTAAAAATAAAAAATATATAATAAATACTCACTGAATAGGGTTTAACAGCTTAAGAGAGAATAGTGCATTAGGAAGTAGGTAAGAAAAATTATCCAGTCTGCAACTCAGAGAGAAGAAATATAAGAAAAAGAGGTTAAGAATCATGGAGGATAAAATGAAAAAAAATCTCAAAAAAGAAGTCTAATTATAGTGCCAAGAAAAGGATCATGGCAATACTTGAAGAACTAATAGATAAAAACTTTTTAGAACTGATGAAAGGTACCGATTCATAGCTTAAAAAAAAAAACAACCCATAGAACATAGGTGACAAAAGCAGGTACAGTATATTTTCCTCGTAATTGGTATAGCATGTACTGATTTCTTCCAAAGTTTTGAATGAGGCTATATGTAATTCCAGTGGTTAAATATTGTTCCAAAGTTCTTCTGAGAAAAGGCTTTTTTGGCATCCCTTAGTAACATTGTAAGATTTCAGTAGTCTTTGTTACTGTTTTCTCATCCTAAATTTTTCATGCCATTTATACTACTTCAACCCCGTATGTATTCTACCCTTTGCTAGTCCCTGCAACAATTGTGATTAAGGTATTTCCCAGAACAGCAGGGCTCACTGAATTTGTAAATGCCATCATTACCATTTTATGTCTTGATAGAGCGAATTATACAATTGAAGGATACTTTGAGCATTGAAAAATTGTCCATGAAAGTAATATTAGCAGATGATGTAAAAAGAGAACCAGTTATTTATAATTTATTTATATTGTCAGTCTGTTAAGAAAATAGACAAGTTTGTAAATATGAGTGTTTACCATTTAAGTGGTTTCCTATCCTTAAAAACATTGCCTGACTCCTGATGAATGGAAAGTACAGGATTTTTAACGTTCACTTTTAGAAAACATAAATACAAACCAAAACTAAGAAAGTAAGATGTTATTGTTTGTTTTAATAAAAGATTTATAGCCCTGGCTGGCATAGCTCAGTGGATTGAGCGCGGGCCTGCGAACCAGAGTATCGCGGTTCGATTCCCAGTCAGGGCACATGCCTGGGTTGCAGGCCAGTTCCCAGCAGGGGACTCATGAGAGGCAACTGTACATTGATATTTCTCTCCCACTCTTTCTCCTTCCCTTCCCCTCTCTCGAAAAATAAATAAATAAAATATTTTTTAAAAAAAAAGATTTATTTTACCAAAGAATTCACCACACATTTTCTTTAAGTATGCATCTTATTGCATTTAAATTTGTTGGTTTTTTTTTTTAATATCCAATTTTGGGGGGAAACATGTAAAGTGCCCTTGGAATTATATTAAAGGAGTAAATACTGGTCATGATTTTCTATTACATGACCTACTTTTTCATTTTTGAAATATCAAATTTTATCTTCTATTTTTATAATTCAGAGACTATTTACCCTCAAAATTAGATTGGAGTAGGTATTTTTACATGTTAAGTTATGATGTTCTTCAGTAGTTTTTTAATGTATGCATTTTATTTTACTGTGTGAATGCACCGTTGCTTCTGTAACTTACTGAAACATGTAAGTTTTGTATTTTTCATTTAGGGCATATTGTTCACATCTGTGATTATTTTTTCAAAGTAAAGTTTTAGAAGCGGAACTGCTGGGCCATGCAAAATATTAAGCTGCATAATACCTGTCACATTTCCTTTTAGAAGGGCTGTCCCAGAGCAGATTAGTTCAAAAGACCCTTTCTCCATACATTTCCCAACATGTAGTGTGGTGTGTGGTGTGTATGTGTTTTAACACTTTGAGTAGTGAAAATATCTCATTGGAATTCTGCTTCTCTGATCACCAATGAAGTTGAATGTTGTATTTTTTTGTTTCCTAGACCTTTTTTTGAAAGGACATTCTTAAAGATCACAAAATACTAAATCTAGTGTCCCTCTTTTATTATCTCACTCCTCTGAAGAATTTAATTCTTGACTCACTTTTTTTCATGATGTAATTTTACTACACAGTTCCAGTTTCCCCAGCTCTCACATTTCTAGCTCTTTTACTTCCCACAATTGACATTGTAGTATTGTCTTCTGAAGATTCAGCCCTGTGCTTTTTCAGTCTCATATTCTCTCTTTGCTATTTTTTGGTTGTCTGGAAAATATGTATTTAACAGAAGGAAATTGAGGTAGCGATGCTGCCTTGATAGTGTGCTTTCAGAAGCACAAACTGCTCTGTCTAGTTCCTCTCTCTTCCTCTTATCAATAAGGCTATCATTTTGACTTTTTTCCATTTGTGTTGTCATTATTCTAACTTTAGCTAACACTTAAGAATTATTCATCCTCATTCATTGCCCTGCCTCTGTTTTTTCTGTTTATCTTACACATCAGTAGCCTATTAAAATAGTTATAAAATACTAGCATGAGTATGTCATTTCTAATCTCAGAACCCTTAATTGATTTCCCTTACAACAATTGAAATAAGTTTTATAGACTCTATAATTATATATGTTTACTTAAAATAGGTTGTCAAAATTACACACTGTCCTACGCTGCTCACCAGAGATGGAGATCGCATTAGAAGTAATGGAAAGTTTGGGGGTCTTCAGAATAAAGCTCCTCCAATGGACAAACTTCGAGGAATGGTATTTGGAGCTCCAGTACCGAAACAGTGCCTGGTTTTAGGGGAACAAATAGGTAGGTTGAGTAAGTACTTCGACAACAGTTTCTCATTTGATTTTAATCCTTTATTTAGGGCTTGCATATTGATATCCTAACATGAAAAATTAACCAGTAACAAATACTAATAAAATGTTTGTTCAGGGCATGTGACCTCCCTCCACCATTTTCCTTCTATAGGCTATATCACCTTGTTTTTAGTCAGCTAAAATAATGGCTTTTACATCTGTGCTCTGAACTGTATATATAGGTGGTCAGCATCCCTAACTCTGTGTTTGTCAAGGATCACCTGTACTTTTACAGGAGGTTCCATACAGGCCGTTCTTAGAGCCTATTTATATAGTTCTAATATGCTTGGATACATACTTTTTCAACAAAAAGTAATTTGTTGTTTTTGTTAACTCTTCTGTAAAAAATGGTAAATATACACAATATAAAATGCATCATCTTAACTGTCTTTAAATGTACAGTTCAGTGGTGTTAAGTACATTCACATTGTTGTGCACCAGTTTCCAAAGCTATTGTCATTTTTGCAAAACTAAAACTTTGTGCACATTAAATAACAACTTCTCATTATTCCTTTCTTTTCTTTCCCCAAACCCCTGGCAAATAGTAGGGTTTCCTTCTGTAAATTTGAGTATGTTAGGTACATTATGTAAGTGGAATCATACAGTATTTGTTTTTTTGTGGCTGGCTTATTTCACTTAGCATAATGTCTTCCAGATGCATCTATGTTACAGCCTACGTCAGAATACCCTTTCTTTTTAAGGTTGAATAATAAATCTCTATTGTGTATGTAAACCATATATTTTTGTTAACTTTTATTGAAGTATATTAAACATAGAGAAACATGTACATTTCATAAACATGCCAATTTATAAATTTCATAAAGTGGACACTGCCCTTATATTAAGAAATAGAACATTGTTGGCACCACAGAGGGTCTCTCGGGCCCTTTTCCAGTCACTGTCCAACCCCCTTTTCAAAGGATAGCAACTTTCCTAATTTAAAACAGCTAGACTAGCTTTGTCCATTTTTGTACCTTATGTGAATGGAATCGTGCTCTTGCGTGTCTGGCTTTGTTCATTCAATACTATATGTATATTTATAGTTCATTTACATATCAGGATTGTATTCCATTGTGTAGATATATCATAGTTTATTTCTGTATTCCACTGTTGAGGAGTTTGGATCGTATCTAGTTTTCTGTTACTACTTCAGCCCTCAACAATGTTCAAAGTAGTAGTTGGGAAACATAGTGGAAAGAAGGTTGCTTGTATTCCTTTATGAGATGGTCAGTCAGGTGCAGCTCTAAGAGGAGACCGGAAATGCTCAGGAAAACAGTTTATTACCCTCACAGGTCCTAGAGACAGGAGGCCCCACACACCCTGCAGGGCCAACATGGTCAGGAGGCAGAAGCCCAGAAGGAGAGTGCTGGAGCTACAGCCTTTTCAGAATTTCTGCAGGAAGCACAACGCTTGACAGGGTAAACAGTTTAGGATTGACTAGTTTGAGTAATTCGAATGGGCTTTTGGTTATAGGCATGGTCTCTAGCTAGTTGCCTGGTACTGGGTCCTGAAATGATAAGGCAGAGGAATATTGCTTCTTGGTGTGCACAGGCCAGATAGAGGAGGCTTGGCTCTGGATTGGTTAGTTGCATATCAAAGGCATCCTTAGGCCTTTGCTATCTTCAAGAGTTGGCTAACTCTGGGAGGGGCAGTCCCTTTCTCAGCCAGAAAGGTTTTTTCAGGATATCAAAATATCATAATCTATAGAAAATTACAATTATATTCAATACAAATGAAGTATGATGTATATTCAACATATACATCATATTCAATATATTCAGTAATATTATTGAATATACATCATACTTCAGTTTATGATGGCACTGAATGCTTATAAAAATCTCTGTAGACAATAACATTAACTGATAAGAAATCAGAAAAAAACAATTCAGTCCAGGCAGTGAATCAACATAAAAAAGCCTCAATCCTTATAACTCTAGCAGTACAGTTTATGACAGTGCTCCCAGACAAAAAGAATTACCTGCAGAACTTTTAAAATACGCGGGTGCTGTAGTGACAGCACTTCTAGTTTCCCTGAGCATCTGAATGTCAATATAACAGTAAGGCATTATCTATAGATCTTAGGGAAGAAAAGATTGTAAGTAAAGATTTCTGTACCATATTGGATTGTTTATATATATAAGGTTGACAAATAATACAAGGATTTCAAAAATACAAGTTACTTATCCTTCTTGTTAAATATCTTTAAAGATACATTCTATATACAGACTAATGACTCGACAATAAGAAGTCAAATATTAAACAGTTTTTAAAAAATCAAATGAGACACTTTAAGATTACTGATAGGTATAAAGTACTTTTTGCTTGTAAACAATAGCAGTCAGCCCTGACCATTTGAAGCAGAATTGTATTGGAAGGGAACTGGAAGAAATCACAGATTCAAAAGAAATTGGAAACAGCCAAGACAAAACCAAGAATGACTTCTGGGACATTCAGCAGCCTTCTGTTGCTTGCACCACCGTGGAGTACATTTTCTAACAACTCAGACTCTACCTAGAAGAGAGATTTTCCCTCCTGAAACACAGCCATAGTAAAGATCAGATAGAACAGAGCTTTGAGGAACCTCTTTCTAGAATGTCATGGGATGTTTGCAGAGAAAAAGCAATTTTCCACTAGACAACCACCACAAAAATTGTAATAGCAAAATTAAAAGCAGAGTTGTTTGCCTTCTAAATAATTTTATTACACAGTGTTTTGCATTATAGTATTTAATATGAGATAATAGCAAATCAGAGCCAAAAAAGGAAAAATGAATATTTACATGTCATGAAATAAGACCTTGAGTAACATGTAAATACATTAAGTTCTTTGATTAAAAAGCAAAGATACTTAGATTTTAAAATATCCTTTTCCATCTGTTTTCTACTTCTACCCCAGTGAACAGTGTGTCACTTTTATAATCAGAAAATTTTACTAATTATTTTTTAATACTCATGTTCTTTGAACCAGTAATTGATGTAAACAGACAAGACTTTCATTCAGATTACTTTTGCAGCCTTGTTTTTCAATCAAAGCATTAGAAATGTTAAATGCTTTAATTGAATTTATAATCCAGGAAATGTCTATTATAATGTTAAGTGGAAAGTAGTTAGAAAGTATAAATCCAGATACCACACATGTGAAAAACTAAACCTGCAAATTTGTCTAATGAAAAGACAAGATGCCCTGGCTGGTGTGGCTCAGTGGGTTGAGTGCCAGTCTGGGAACCAAAGACTCACTGGTTGTTTCCCATTCAGTGCACAGGCCTCAGTTGCAGGCCAGGTTCCCAATAGCGAGTACTCAAGAGGCAACCACACATTGATGTTTCTCTCTCTCTCTCCCCCCTTCCCCCTCTCTAAAAATAAATAAATAAATAATAAAAAGACCAAAAAAATGAGATGGTAAGCCTACCAGTTTTTGCCCAACTTTCCTTTTTATTTTTTTCTGTGTTATCCCAGATTTTCTATAGAGATGTTAAAAAAAAATCACTGTGGACATTGTAAAAATCAGGATATGGACAAAAGAAAGGAGAGTTTTTAACAGCATCTGAAGACAGGAAAATTTTTTAAATAGCCAATAAGTAATCAGTATACAGTTTATAATCATTATATCATCAAACTAGTTAACACTTATACATTCCAAATATGTAGACCAGGTTAGACATTATTTCTATTTTATTATGCCATGATTCATTTAATATTTACCTTCTCAGTTATTACTATCCATTTTTTAAATTAAACCATTCTTAATGTTTTTTAGAAATAGTAAACAAGATTAAGTGCTGTGGCATTTAGGGCAAGTACGTTTTGTTTTATTGTGGAAATGAACCGAGTATATAATGAATTCCCATGGACCTATCAGCTAACTACTTTTATTTGTTGTAACTACCCCTCTCACAATTTGCTTCCCTCCTCCTCTCTCTGGGTAGATTATTTTGGAACAAATCAAAGCAGAAATTCTAGTGTGTTTTCACATAATTTTTCCTCAGTCATCGGGGCTTATCAGTTTTTCTTGCCAATACATTCTTAGAATCATGTAGAACACAAAGTTTGAAGAGACCTAAACATTTTTAGTAAAGTCTACCTACATACCTAACAGCTTAAATCTTCAGTGATAAGAAAGTTGCTTCTGCCTTCTAGGTAGCCTTAATTTGTCTCATAACAGCCTTTAGATATACTTTCAATTCTTTGTATTATTTCTAGTAGCTTTGCTTATATAGTCATTCCCTTAGATACATTGAATTAATTTATATCTCAAATCTTAATATGTGTCATACAGAAATTAAGGCATTGTTTTAGTTTCCTTCCCTTAAGCTGATTTTTTAAAAGTATTTCACTGTTTTCATAGTAAAGTTTCATCAGTTTCTATTTTTTCCAGAGAAAAAATTTCAGACAATGAATATTGTAAAAGCTCAAAAATCATTTATAAGCATAATTGAATGCAAACTTTGAATTTTTCTCTTTGGCAGAATTCTCGTAAATGTAGTTGGGAAGTACTTTTTAAGTTGGGAAGTACTATTTTAAGACAAGTAATATAAGGAAAGATCAGTTTTTTTTTATCAAAAGTGCATTTTTGAAACCTGTGTTTAAAGTAATGGTCATGTCTGTTAGAAGCAGTGATTTTCTAACAGTACTATATATATTTAATATATTTGTAGCCCCCCTCAAATTTCTGTGGAATAAAATTGAATATTAAACAGGGTATAAATATTGACTGAGTGATCCTATTTACAGAGCACTCTTAGGTAGAAAACTCCTTACAAAGAACTAAACTTTTAAAGTTAAGCCATTGAAGAAGATTAAAATTTAATAAGCCAACAGTCTCATGCTGGGATCTAAACTGTGCTTTTTTAATTTTATTTCCTTAGAGTGAACATTTTGTGTTAAAAGTAGCTCCTGCCTGTTACTATAACATAGTACCCAGTGTTGCTAATTCTTCTTTCCTAAAACCCTAATTTGATGTGATAATCAGTAGTTTTAATCAAATGTCTGGTTTCTTTGCAGATCTTCTTCAACAATATCGTAATGCTGTGGACAAGTTGAACAGTCTGACCAAGGACCTTAATAGTGAATTAGAGTACCTTCAGTCTCCTGAAATGAAGAAGAAGAAACACGAACTTGATGAACAAGAGAAAAATCTGAAGCTAGTAGAGCAACAACTAGGTATGTGCTTATTGCATTTTGTTAATGCCTACTTTATCTGCATGAAGATAAATACTTATGATTAAAGAGGTTCACCCATAAAAAGAATGTGAATGATCCAGAACTTTATCTTGACTCTAAGTCATCTGATAAATGATGGTTACTAAAAAAAGATTATAAACTCTTCTCTCAGCAGGAGTAATAAGAATCATTCTCAGTATTATTTATTAATTGTTTTATAAATTAAGATGTATTTGCTTTTCTTGATTATAATTCCAATCTTTTAAAACTTAATTTTCTACCTTTATAGCTATAACTCTCACACCTAAGTGTAATGATTCATTACGTCATCCAACAAAGGTTGAAATGACAGATTGTCCAATTCCTCCTAAAAGAGTGAGAAGAGAAGTTATAAGACAAAATAGGTAAGTATTTATGACCTGTTAGTTATCATTGGTTAGTTTATCAAAGCTCTTGTCTCAATATGCTTTAAAAAATAGCATGAGTTTATTTCTAATATCCCCCTTGAGCCAGAATGTTTTTTTCATGTGAACTGAATGATGAATAATGAAGAAAAACATCATCATTATATTTTCCTAAGATACCAATTTTCTAAATGATTTTTGGTAATTGTTCGGAAAGTTTTAATAGTTTATTTTTATGCTATTTTTAAAGTTAAAGATTTAAATTGCTTTTCTATTGTTTGGCTTAACTTTCAAATGCAATGCATTCTACTTCATAGGATCAGCAACTTGATAAATATAGAATATGCAAAACCATTTGTATATTACTTACTTAAAAATTGCTTATAATGTTTGGTTTGGAAAATCAGATGTACCATTTAAATAGCTCATCAAATACCAACAAAGGTTTCAGCAGCCTAACTCAATGGTACAAAAGCTATACTTTTTCAGATGAGATTTTAGTAAGGCCATAACACAGAAGGATACCATAGTACAAGAGGTTTTTTTGATACATTATTGCAAAAAGTTTAAATATAGACTTTTGAGACTGTGGTATTTGGACTTAATATTCCATGCCCTTTCTATCTACATATTCTGCATTTATGCAGTAACTATGTGAATGCTGATTTTGTGTCATGTGTTGCTGGGTGAATAGAAGTGGGAAGCATAGGAAGGAATTTAATTCATTCCATATAATAGGTGCCTTAAGGCATTAGAGCTTAAATCTCTCATAGGTTTGAGAAAGGCTCAATTTAACAAGTGTACAGGAGATATGGGGAGTATAGGAACAAGTTAAGTGATGCCACCAAGAAGCAGTCAGCCAAAACCAGAATGTCAAGAATAGGATATTGTACAGGAAAGTTCACTGCTTTTGTTAATAAATCAATGACCTAAAAGAAAGACAAACTGTTTATTGAAGAATAAATAAGATTGAATGATCAACAGTCAAATGTAGTATGTAGACCCTTTTTTTAGATCTGAATTTGAATCCTTAAAATGACAACTTCCAAAATATTTGGAGAAACTTGAATGTCACCTGGATATTAGCTATATTAAGAAATTATTAATTTTGTAATTTGCATATAATAACATGATAGTATTTACATTAAATATATATTTTAGAAATGTGCAGTGAGGTATTAGTTAAGTAACTTAATGTCTTGGATATACGCAAAAATATTGCAGGAGAAAAATATGTGACAGGATATCAAAACAAGATTGGTCAAAATGTTATAATTATGCATGTTTCTCATCATTGTTAAATATGTTTTATTGAAGATGGGGAGCATTTTTTCAGTTTTCTAAGAGACAAGTGAAGAAATTCCAATTCTAAAGTACATATACTTGAAGCTACATCATAGCCTCAGCACTGAATTAGCCCAAGACTTTGCAGTTACAATACTGTTACTACAGATATCACTGATTTCAACCTAGTTCATTAAGATTTTGTTAGTAATTCAGAGGTGGAATGGGCTAAAGTTGTTTATCATTAATTTGTTGGTAGTAGTACCATTATTTACAAAGTCATACATTATATACAATAAGTCAAATGGTAAAGATTGTACTGTAATGTGAGCCACACATGTGATTTGAAATTTTCTAGGAGCCATATTAAAAAGAAACAGATTAATTTTAATAATAGATTTTATTGAATCCAGTCTATAAACTACCCATTGTAACATGTTATCATTGTAACAGTGTACAAAGTTATCATTGTAACATGTAAACAGCGTGAAAAATTATTAATGAGGTGTTTTAAATTCTTTTTTTCATACAAAGTCGTCAGCATTCTGAAGCTAGCACACCTCTATTAGGACCAGCTGTGTTGCAAATACTCTGCAGCCACATATGGCTAACGGTTACCATGTTGAATAGCATAGGCATAGAAAGAGCTTTATGATGATAAAGTCATGTGTCGTATCCATCTTCACCTTATTCCATTACCTAGAGGCAACCTTTGTTTTAAATGTTTAGTTTTTGTTATTTTGCTGTTGCCTCCATTTTTTTCTTTTTTTTTCCTTTTTCTCCATTTTTTAAATATACTTAGGTCTGTCTTATCAGTTTTTAGACAGTACAGCTCACCCAACTCCCTGATGTGGAGGTTTGTCTTACCTGGTCTACCTAATGATTTTTGGACTGAATTGTTCTGAAATATTTTAGATTTATTTCTCTATCATGATTATTTCATGATCTTCTACCCTGCAACCACAACCAAGTCATCCATGTTTTTTTTTCAAATGTAGAGAACAGTAAACCACACAACATTATTATGGCCCTGTAAACAGTACTGGGCAAAGTTGTGTGCTAGGATTACATGTTTTTCTCTATAAAATTCTAGCATGAGGATCAAATAAATCTTGCACATTGTATCAGTTCTTAAAATCATGTTAAATTTTAATCCAATTCTTATTTGGACTATTTCTTGGATGTTGTTTGGACTGTTTCTTGGATGTTATTTTTTTTTTCTGGAGTTTCTAATTTTCTTCCTTCCTTTTTTCTTTCACTGTCTTGATCACATACTCTTCCTCCTGCTCCAGAGACTGCTATCTGTGTAGGCCTCCTGGGTCTTCCTTGGCTACGCTCTTGGGTTTAATCCTCCGTGTCTTGGATGCCTTGCCTTTCTCTTAAAACTTTCTTAGAAAAAGTGTATACAAAGAAATTTGGAGCTCTTGCTTGTCTAAAAATGTCTTCATTCTGCCATTACATTTGATTGAAGTTTTCTGGTAATAATAGGATAGAAACAAGGCTAGAATATACTAAAGGAGGAAGGACTGGGAAACAGTCTAGAGACAATGGCAAGAGACAAAAGGGGGATTGGAGCAAGATGGAAACAGAGAGGAAACCAACAGCCTAGAGTGTTCAAACCAAAACTTTGAAAGCTTTGGTGATGTTTCCAGAGAACATCACAGAGTTAGATAACAAGGATAATTAGTTAATTAAATGGTAGTATATTGACTTTAGGTATAGTTGGTAGCACTCTAGAGGCTTGTCTAATGCTGCCATCTAGGGAGATAGTAACCTGATAGTTGGTTCTCCAGCCCCACACTTAAAACAAAACCTGCTGACCCACTGACCCTGCTCTGACCTGTCCCACTTAAATTTCCACTCAGAAAGGAGACTTGATGGGAAAATAATTCTGTTTTTTCAAGAGAAGAATAAATCCAAGCCAGCAGCACTGTCCTGTTTTAAATATAATCATACAGCCCTGGCTGGTGTAGCTCAGGGGATTGAGTGTGGCCTGTAAACCAAAGGGTCTCTGGTTCAATTCCCAGTCAGGGCACATGCCTGGGTTGCAGGCCAGGTCACCAGTAGGGGGTGCACAAGAGGCAACCACACCTTGATGTTTCTTTCTCTTTCCCTTCTCCTCTCTCTAAAAAGAAATAAAATCTTTTAAAAATAAAAAATAAATAATTTAATCATACAACCAAGAATCACCATGTATACATGCATATGAGAAAAAAAATCCAAGATAAATAGTAAAACCAACCCTGAAGATAATTCAGTAAAACTTTTTAAATTTTGTAATTTTTAATGAGATTGCAGAAGGAGTTATATTTACAAAATTCGGAGAGTATTATAAGAAAGATACAGGTGGAATGAGGTTATAGATTCAGCAAATGGTATTTCAACAAATACCATTGTTGAAATAAAATATTCAGAGGACTAAGGACCCTGGCCATGTAGCTCATTCAGTCAGAGTTCGTCCCCATATGCCAGGGTTTTGGGTTTTATCTCTGGTTAGGGCACATACAAGAATCAACCAATGAGTGCATAAATAAGAGGAACAACATATCAATGTTTCTCTCTCTCAAATCAGTAAATAACATTTTTTTAAAAAAGATCATTGGCCCTGTATGGGGATTAGGGAAATCAAGGAACTAAAAAAGAAACTTTCTAGAAAAATCATGTGAAGACAAAGATGGAGACATAGAGAACCAGTTCAGACTGTTAGGAATATTAGAAAGAGGAAAATGCAGAAGAAAAATACATAGAAGAGAGTTTTCCAGGGATGAAAAACTCAAACTCTCCAGGAGAGTTTTTCATGAATGAAAGGGCACAGTGACTGACAAAAGAGGCATCTATAAAGAGAATTCTTAGTAAAATTTTAGAGTATTAAGGAAAGGTAGAAGAGTGTAAATTTTTTCAGAGAGTCAAAGGGGGAACCATATTGACAGTGCAGATTTTGACACACCGAAAACTCAGCTCTTGTTATTTAGCTTTGTGTTGACAGTGTTGGAAGTTTTAGATTAAAAGTTTGGTATACTCTAGCCTGTGGCTCCCTCCCCTTTTGCATGTTGTTTATCTGTGGGAAATTTAAAATCACTTTAAATTTCTTAAGTTTCTATATAAAATTTAACTTTCTGTTTAATTGGTAATGTCCTCATATACAATCTTGGTCTGTACTTCATAAAGTTTAAAAAAAAATTTGGAGTACACTTTATGACTTGGCAAAATGTGTATGACACGTAACATTAAATAATGAAGAAGAATATAAAACTGTTCATGGCATGATCTAAATCCTCTTTAAAAATCACATACACACATGCACACACACAAGACTGGAAGAACACATATAGGTAGTGGAAATATAAGTAATTTAAAATTTCTTCTGCATACCTAAATAAATTTTTTTCCAAAAATATCTTTATTATATAATATCATTTACAGTTATATCATTGTAACAATTTTTTAAATTTTTTTGCATTTTTTATTCAGTTACAGTTGTCCTGCCTTTTCCCCCACTGTTATCCCCATCCCTCCACCACTCTCACCATCAGTACCCTCCATTGTCTGTGCCCATGAGTCCTCCGATAGAGCTCCTTGGCTTGTCCCTTCCCCTTCTTTCCCCTCATCCCCCCACCCCTGCCCCTCTGGCCAGTTCGTTCTTTACTTCCAAGCCTGTAGTTATATTTTGCTCATTTGCTTTTTTTTATTGATTAGGTTCCCCTTATAGGTGAGATCATAAGGTATTTGTCTTTCACTACCTGGTTTAATTCACTTACCATAACACTCTCCAGTTCCATCCATGCTGTTGTGAAGGGTAGGAGTTCCTTCCTTCTTTCTGTTGTGTAGTATTGCATTGTGTATGTTTGCCACAGTTTTTTGATCCACTCATTTACTGATGGGCACTTAGGCTGTTTCCAGCACTTGACTATTATTGTAAATAACACTGCTGTGAACATTGCGGTGCATAGATTCTTTTGAATTGGTGTTTCAAGATTCTTAGGGTATAATCCTAGCAGTGGGATCGCTGGATTGAAAGGCAGTTCTATCTTTAGTTTTTTTAGGAAATTCCATACTGTTTTCCACAGTGGCTGCACCAGTCTGTGTTCCCACTAACAGTGCACTAGGGTTCCCTTTTCTCCACAACTTTGCCAACACCTGTTTGTTGATTTATTAACAGTGGCCATTCTGACTGGTGTGAAGTGATATCTCATTGTGGTTTTAATTTTCATCTCTGTAATGGCCAGTGATGCTGAGCATTTTTGTGTGTGTGTGTCTGTGGACCCTCTGGATGTCCTCCTTGGAGGACCATCTGTTCAGGTCCTTTGTCCTATCATTGGCAAATATGTTTTCCCATTCGGTTGGTTCCCTTTCCATTTTGTTGATGTTTCCTATAGCCCCATTTGTTTATTCTTTCCTGTATATTGTTTTTGTTTTTGTTTTTTTAGGTTCAGTTGTTGATAGTTGTGAGTTCTCATTTTATTGTTCATATTTTTTGTCTTCATTTTCTTAGATAAGTTTGTTTAACATTTCATAGAATAAGGGCTTGGTGATGAACTCCTTTAACTTCACCATATCCGGGAAGCACTTTATCTGCCCTTCCATTCTAAATGATAGCTTTGCTGAATAGAGTAATCTTGGGTATAGGTCCTTGCCTTTCATGACTTGGAATACTTCTTTCCAGTCCCTTCTTACCTGCAAGGTTTCTTTTGAGAAATCCGCTGGCAGTCTTATGGGAACTCCTTTGTAGGTAACTCTCTCCTTTCCTCTTTCTGCTTCTCGGAGTCTCTCCTTATTTTTCATCTTGGGTAATTTAATTATGATGGGCCTTGGTGTGTGCTTCCTTGGGTCCAATTTCCTTTGTACTCTCTGATCTCCTTGGTCTTCCTGGAAGTCTATTTCCTTTGCCAGATTGAGGAAGTTCTCCATTTTTTCAAATAAGTTTTCCATTCCTTGCTCTTACTCTTTTCCTTCTGGCACCCCTGTGATTTGAATGTAGAACATTTAAAGTTGTCCCAGAGGCCCTGTGCTGGCTTGTGAACCAAAGGGTCACCGGTTCAATTCTCAGTCAGGGCACATGCCTGGGTTGTGGGCCAGGTCCCCAGTAGGAACCATGCCAGAGACAACCGTACATTGATGTATCTCTCTCTCTCTCTCTCTCTTTCTCCCTCCTTTCCCCTCTCTAAAAATAAATAAATAAAATCTTTTAAAAAATAAAATAAAGTCCCAGAGGTTCCTCAGCCTCTCCTCATTTTTTTGAATTCTTGTTTTTTCATTCTGTTCTGATTGAATGTTTATTTCTCCCTTCACCTCCAAATTATTGATTTGAGTCCCAGTTTCCTTCTCTTCACTGTTGGTTCCCTATACATTTTTCTTTATTTAACTTTGCATACCCTGTACTTTTTCCTCTAATTTGTGACCATCCTCAACCATTTCTGTGAGTATCTTGATTACCAGTGTTTTGAACTCTGCATCTGGTAGGTTGGCTATCTCTTCATCACTTAGTTCTATTTTTTCTGGAGCTTTGATCCATTCTTTCACTTGAGCCATATGTTTTTTTGTCTCGGTGAGCCACTTATGTAGTAAGGGGTGGAGTCTTAGGTATTGGCCTGGGTGGGGCAACCCACATTGCTGTGTTGTGATACTATATATGGGGGATGAGTGTGAGAGGGAACAATGCTGCTTGCTCAGCTCTTGGTAGGCTCTCAGTTACTTCCTGTGCTACCCACCAGCAAATTAGGCCCTTCTGGTGCTGCTTCCCAGGGGGTGGTTTTGTGTACATTCTAGGACCTGGTGGGTCTCTCCAAAGAATTCTTTTGTGAGACTGGGAGTTTCTCCTGCACCCTCAACCCCCACAGGTTTTTTTCATTTAGAGGTTTTGAGGCTTTATTTCCCTGCCCTGGAACCCTGGATTGCGTGGTCTGTCTCACTCCCCAGTTGTGCCTCCCAGTTTATTCCCACACAAATATGGGATTGCCCAGTCCACCAGCTGCTGCCTCGCTCACCCTGATCCTTCAGCTACTGCCTTGCCACGCATCCTCTCCCACCTGCTTCCTGTCTCTGCCCCTCCTGCCAGTCTGGATGAATGTTTTTTCTTTAACTCCTTGGTTGTTAGACTTCATACAGTTCAATTTCTGGCAGTTCTGGTTATTTTTTGTTTTTAAATTTGTGTTTGCACTTCTTTCAGTTGTGCAAGGAGGCAAAGTGTATCTGCCTACGCCTCCATCTTGGCCAGTTGTGTCCCTTCATTGTCTTTAAGCAGTCCCTTTAGTGTCTTGCAATGCTAGTTTGGTGGAAGTGTCTTTTAACCTTCTTTAGTCTGGGAAAGTTCTTATTTCACCTCCCATTTTAAATGACAGCCCTGTGGGTAGAGTAGTCTTGGTTGCAGGCCTTTGCTTGTCATTACTTGGAATAATTCTTGCCATTCCCTTCTGGCTCATAGTGTTTCTGTTGAGAAATCAGCTGTTAGCCTTATCAGAACTTCTTCCTATGTTACTATTTGTTTCTCCCTTGCCACCTTTAAGACTCTCTCTTTGGCTTTAAAAGTTGGCATTTTGATTTTGATGTGTCTTGGAGGGGGCCTCTTTAGATTTATCCTTATTGGGATCCTCTGTGCTTCCTGAACTTGCGTGGTTTTTCCCCTCTCCAAGTTAAGAAGTTTTCTGTTATTATTTTTTCAAACAGGTTTTCTATCCCTTGCTCCTTTTCTTCTCCTGGTATTTCCTATAATGCGAATGTTGTTACATTTCATGTTGCCCTGAAGTTCCTTTAAACTGTCCTCATACTTTTTGAGTCTTTTTTTCATTTTGTTGCCCTACCTGGGTATTTCTTCCTACCTTGTCTTCCAGCTCACTGATTCGGTCCTCTGCTTCATCCGTCCTGCTCGTAATTCCTTCTGGCATATTTTTTATTTCAGATAATGTATTCTTTGTTTCTTCCTGCTTCTTTATAGTTTCTCTTTCCTTTTTCATGCTGTTGTAGTTCCTACTCAGTTCCTTGTAGTTATCACTGAGTTCATTGAGCATCCTTATAACCATTTTTTTTTTAATTTCTATGTCCGATGGAGTGCTTGCCTCAATTTCATTTAGCTCTTTTATTGGGAATTCTTCCATTCTTTTTGATTGGGGTTTTTTCTTTGTCTCCTCATTTTAAGTGACTCTCTTTGTTTCTGTATCTCAGGATTCTCTGCTTTGCCGGCCTGTCTTTGTGGGTTGGCCTTCTGTGGTAGGAATTCTTTGGGACTCAGTGGTACAGTCTTTCTGATCTCCTTGTCTGGATGCTCTAGGGTTGCCCTTTTTTCTGTTTGTGTGGGCTCTCGTGTACTTGGGTATACTCCATAAATTTTGAACTGATCTCAGTATCTCTCAAAAACATTTGAAATTAAAGTATTTAGTGTTGAAATAGTGGTATATTTTATCCATACAATCAGGAACAAACTTAATAGTAGGAAAGAGCAACATAATGTATATGTTCACATGTTTTTATTTATATTTGCATATGTATATTACATACTTACATATTTATCATCCCCTTTTATAGAGATTATATACCATATTTCATTAACTCTAAGGTGTCAGTAATATAAATTATTTCATGAACATTAAAGAAAAACACTACAAATTAATTCATTAGGTTAAAAGGTAGATTTCAGAGATGTTAAATATGGAAAAACATGTGGATCTTAGGGTCAAAAAAATATATTTAACAATATATGATATTACACAATAGACTTATTTTCTTTAATAGAGAGTTCAGTTTTCTAATTCAGTTTTCACTCATAAAGATCACAAATTAGCTCTTTACCAGAAATGTGTATCTTCCATCTGGAGATGCTAGTTCAAGGAACTATCATTAGAAAATAAAGTATTTAGGTTTTACTTTAACAAAAATACCTGTGTGTGTGTCTGTGTGTGTGTATATATACCCCCAAGGTATTCGCTGTATTCATCTCTGCATAAATGGAGCAGTAAATATCTTTAAGTGGTTTTTTTTCTTTTGCAACACTTTCGTAATAAGCATTATAAGTGTAGTTAATTTTTAAAGCTGTAATTTCATTTCAGGAAAATGGGGGGAAAGTAAGGAAAATCTTCAGACTTCGGGTCTGAGAAATAACCATTGTAAAGAAATGTGGTACAAATTACCCCTTTTTCTGTATATGTTTACTACTGTTATTTTGAGGCTTTTCTACTTTTTTTTGGCATACATGTCGAAGTGATTATGTACAAGGATTTAATTAAATATGTTTATACTGGGAATTATTGTAATTAATAGAACATAGTTGCATTGCATATTTAACCATGCAGGTCTAATGAAGGAGTTTGGGAAAGGAAAATTTTGACATATGTAATTTATTCATTTTTTTCCCATTATGACCAGGACTATAACCAAAACAAATGTGTGAAAGGTGACAGAGAAGAGGGGACCTTTGGTGTCAGTAAGAATGCCCTGCCTTCTGCAGCTCTTTCAGAAGACCAAGAAGGTGACTTACCAAACTGTATATTTCTGGGGACAGTACAAGAATCTGGGGCATTCATTTCCATGTCTGTCTAGAGAAGACTGGAAGCAACCATTCAGTTTTATGAATCTCACTGGACAATATGGATTTGTTGTAATTATTCCAGCCAGCATGCCCTGTGGTTGTCATTACCATGCAGATGTGTCAGAGGAACATGTACGAACATGGCAGTGACTGCACTACTGGCACATAGCATTTATTAATCCTGAAGAGAAGTATTGTACTATTTTTCAATATGATCACTATAGACATGCTAGAACTCTTTCTTGGAAACAAACCTTTCTTGGAAACAAACCTTTTTATTACTTTTGTGTGAATTTATTTAACAAAACTGTTTTGTCTGTTATGTCTAAGGGTGGTTCCAGAGGTTAGGTATTTAATTTTAAATATGTGAGGAAACTCTTAATGAAAAGAATTCAAAATAAAAGTAGTCCAGAAAGCACAGGAATCTGGGAATTCAGATGTTAAAATATGTAAAAAAAAAAATATTCATGAGTGAATTTGTGACAGCAGTAACATTTTAAATTTCTAATGACTTACCCTGTATGTATATAAAATATGCCTCAGCGTCCATTTTTATAAGTGTCGTTTGACTATTAATACTAGATTATATAGTCTCAGCCTTAATTCTATATTTGCATTATTTTGTAATTTTTTATTGCTATTTTTAAAGGGTTAAAGAACTTGTACACTTCTACATTAATGCAATAAGGGCCTGCTGGGAAGTTGCCTCAGACACATTTGAACTGTGTATTAAAGCTCACATGTCAACATATATGTCTTTGTGTAAGGTCAGTCATATCGGTCTGGGAAATTACTTGGTAAGAAAATACTTTTGGTACAGTTTTGTGTCCCAGGATATGTGTATGTTTTAAAATCTTTCTAAATACACAGTGAAGTTAATAAAGAGGATTAGCTTTTTTTTCTAATTTAATAGATTTTTCCCATTGAAAGCTTCATAACAGTTATTATCTTGTAAAGAACTATTACACTGATAAACCTGTCTTTATAATTGGAAGTCATTTAACTGTTTTTGCTGAAAAAAGAAATAAAATGGCAATAATAGAATTAGCTAAAGAAGATTGGGTTTCTTTTAAGCGAAATTTATTATTGTTCTTAAATACTAGTGTAAATAGATCAAAGTCCTATCTTCTATAATTATTACACTTTCGACTCTTTGACATGTTTATTTACAATTATTTTAAATGGGTAGGATTAATTCAATTATTTTCAGTATATAATTTTCATCTAATTTTTACTAAAAATTTGGACTTTGTATTATTTTTATACTGTTAAAATAACTTTTCAGTTATATCTGCTAAACATTTTCATGGCATCATCTCTTCACATTCATGCTTATGGAATTATATTTATAAAATTACTTTTATACATGTTAATTTAAGAGTTTTATTTTGCATGCCTGTTGAATACTTAGTACCTGTTTTGACTTGCAAAAGAAGATACCATTCCTAGGTATCCATGAGGAATTGGTTACAGGACTTCCTGCCGATACCATAATTCATGACCACTCAAGTTCTTTATATAAAATGGCATAGTATTTGCATATAACGTACACACATCCTCCCATATACTTTAAACCTCTAGATTACATATAATACTTAGTACAATGTAAGAGCTATGTAAGTAGTTCTTGTATTGTTTAGTGAATAATAGCAAGAAAAAAATGTTGGTACATTTCAATACAGATGCAACCATCATAGGACTAACAACATGTCAACAACAAAATAACTTTTAAATAGACTTAAAAAATGTTATTAGATATAAAGAGGGACATTTTATAATGATAAAGGGGTCAATCTGTCACAAAAGTATAAACATAAGCATGTGCACCTAATAACAGAGAACCAAGAAACATGAAACACAAACTGACAGAAATGAAGACTATTCATTCAACAATGGTAGTTAGAGAGACTATACCCCATTTTCTTTTTTCTTTATTTTTTTTTATTTTTCAATTACAGTTATTATACAATAGTATATTTCAGTACTGTATTAGCTTAATATGTGCAACATAGTTATTGGGCATTTATATAACTTACAAGTGATCCATTTTTTTTGCATGTATCTGTCCAGTTTTCCCGACACTATTTATTGAAGATACTGTCTTTATTCCATTGTATATTCTTTTGTCAGTGATTAATTGACCATATAGATATGGGTTTATTTTTGAACTCTTTATTCTGTTACATTGATCTATATGTATCAGTTTTTATGCCAATATGCTGTTTTGATTACCATAGCTTTGTAATGTGGGTTGACATCAGGTAGCATGATACCTCCAACTTTTTCTTTCTCAAGATTGCTATAGCTACTCGGGGTGAGGGAAAGGGGAGTTGCTTTCGTATAAATTTTAGGATTATTTGTTTTAGTTCTGTGAAAGATGTCATTGGTATTTGGATAGGTATGGCATTGAATCTGTAGTTTGCTTTGAGTAACACGGACATTTTAATGATGTTAATTATTCCTGTCCATGAGCACCATATCGCCTTCCATTTATTTGTATCTTTATTTTTCTTCAGTGTCTAATAGTTTTCTGAGTACAGGTCCTTTACTTTCTTGGATAAATCTATTCCTAGGTATTTTATTCTTTTTGATGCAATTATAAATGGGTTTTTAATAAATTTCTCTTTCTGATAGTTCTTTATATATAAAAATGCAGTCAATTTCTGAATATTAATTTGGTATTCTGCCAATTTACTGAGTTCGTTTATTTTTTTTCATGGAATCTTTAGGGTTCTTTTTATATAGTATCATGTCATCTGCAAATAACAGTTTGACTTCTTCATTTCCTATTAGGATGCCTTTTTTCCTCCTTATCTGATCTCTGTGGCTAGGATATCCAATACTATGTTGAATAAATGTGGTAAAATAGACATCCTTGTCTTGTTTCTGATCCCCCCCCCAAATTTTTCTTTCAGCTTTTCACCATTAAGTATATATGATGTTAGCTTTGGGTTGGTCATGTATGACCTTCATTATGTTGAGGTATGTTCTATCACCATTTTGCCAAGAGTTTTTTTAATCAGAAATGGATGTTGGATTTTCTCAAAAGCTTTTCTGCATCTGCTGATATAATCATATTATTTTTATGCTTCCTTTTGGTAATGTGGTGTATCATGTTAATTGATTGGTGGACATTGACCCAACTTTGCATGCAAAGAATAAATTCCACTTGATCATGGTGTATGATCTTCTTTAATGTATACTGAATTCATTTTTCTAATACCTTATTGAGGATTTTTGCATCTATTTGCATCAGGAATATTGGCCTATGATTTTCTTTTTTGTAGTGTCTTTGTCTGGTTTTGGTATTGAGTATACCCCATTCTTAACAATGGAACAATTAGACCAACTAATAGATGAGACCAAGAACACAATAAAAGACACTATATAAGCCAAGTAGACTTCACAAACATAAAAGATTTCATCCAACTGCATTATACATTCTTTTTTTTTTAAGATTTTATTTATTTTTAGGGAGAGGGGAAGGGAGGGAGAAAAGGAAAGAAACATCAATCTGTTTGCCACTTGCACACCCCCAGCTGGGACCAAGTCTGAGACTCAGGCATGTACCCTGACCCAGAATCAAACTGACAACCTTTGGATACACAGGCCAGTGCTCAGTCAGCTGAGACACACCAGCCAGGACCAATATCTTACATTCTTAAGCATACATGGAACGTTCTCCAGGAAAGACCATAGACTAGGCTATAAAACAAAAAAAATTAAGAAGATAGAAATAATATAAAGTAGGTTCTCTGGTTGAAAGGCAATCAAATTTTAAGTAACAGGGAAACAAATACGTGGAAATTGCCCTGGCCGGTGTAGCTCAGTGGATTGAGCCTGGGCCTGCAAACCAAAGGATCGAGGTTCGATTCCCAGTCAGGGCACATGCCTGGGTTGCAGGCCAGTTCCCTGCAGGGGACACATGAGAGGCAACCATACATTGATATTTCTCTCCCTCTCTGTTTTCCTTCCCCTCTAAAGATAAATAAAATCTTTAAAAAATATGTAGAAATTAAACAGAGTACTTCTAGATAGCCAATGGATCATAGTAGAAATCAAAAGGAATTCAGAAAATACTTTGAGATGAGTGAAAAGAAACCACACCAGAAGTTACAGGATGCATTTCTTAGAGCCGTGCTTAGCAGGAAACTTAGTAAAGATAAATAACCACATTAAGAAAGGAAAGATCTCAAGTCAGTAACCTAATCTTTTACCTTAAGACATTGGAAAGCTAGAAAATTAAACCTAAACTAAGCAGAGGAAAGAAAATAAACTTTAGTGTGCAAATGAATGCAATAAAATAGAGACTAGAAATACAACAGAGGAAAGCAATGAAACCAAAACTTTTTTTTGAAGCTCATAATATCGAAAAACCTGTAGCTAGTTTGACCAAGAAAAAAAAGAGAACATATTAGGGTGGTGAATATACTAGAATCAGAAATGAAAGCGGTACATTCCTGGTGACCTTACATAAGTAGAAAGGATTATAAAGGAATACAGTGAATGTATGTGAACAAATTAGACAACTTAGCTGAAGGGGACAGGTTCCTAGAGAGACACAAACTGCTGGAACTGACTAAAGAAATAGACATATAGCAAGTGAAGGTTTTGAACCAGTAAATTAAAGAGAAAAAAAAGGAAAAGTGCCCCCAAAGAAAAGCCCAGGCCTTGAAGATTTTACCACTGAATTCTACCAGACATTTAAAAAATAGATACCAGTTCTTCACAAATTACAAAAAAATTGGAGAGAATACTTCCCATCTCATTCTATGATGTCAGTAGTACCCTGATAACCAAAACTGAAGACATCATAAGAAAACTACAGAACAATATCTCTATGAATGTGGATGCAAAAATGTTAGCAAACAAATCTAACAACATATGAAAAGAATTACACCCCTGATCACAGAATTTATCCCCAGAATGCAAAATTGGGTGGGTTAACATCTGAAGATCAGTTGGTATAATATATCACATCTATAGAATTAAAATTAATTACATAATCTTGTGCATAGATGCAGAAAACACATTTAACAATTCAATCCATTTTTAGGATCTTAAATAAAACAGTACTAAGGGCACTTCTTCAACTTGGTAAAGGTCATCTATGAAAAACTCAGAGCTAACATCATACTTAATGGTGGAACTGGTTGCTTTTATTCTAAAATAAGGAACAAGACAAAAATACCTGCTTTTGTTGACCCTTGTTATTCAACATTATACTGGAGGTTCTAGCCAGGGCAGTTAGGCAAGAAAAAGAAATTTAAAAACTGGAACTGTTGCTGCATATGATATAATCTTGTATATTAAAAACCCTAACTAGCCCTGGATGGTATGACTCAGTGGATTGAGTGCCGACCTATAAACCAAAGGGTCACTGCTTCGATTCCCAGTCAGGGCACATGCCTGCGTTTCAGGCCAGGTCCCCAGTAGGGTGTGTGACAGTCAATCACGCATTAATGTTTTTCTCTTCCTCTCTTACCCCCTCCCCCTCTCTCTAAAAATAAGTAAATGAAGTCTTTTCTAAAATTTTTTTAAAAACCCTAACCCATTAAAAAGCTACTGGAACTCATAACTTATGAGTTCAGCAAGGTTGCAGATTCAAGGTATAGAAAAATCAGTTATATATATTTCTACATACTTGAAATGGACAATCCAAAATTGAAATGAAGAAAATGTCATTACAATAGCATCAGAAAGAATAAAATTCTTAGTAATAAATTTAACTGAAGAAGTGCAAAACTTGTACTCTGAAAATTACAAAACATTGTTGAAAGAAATTAAAGATCAAAAGAAATGGAAAAATTCTCATTTATGATTTGAAAGACTTGACACTGTGAGATGGAAATACCCTTTAATCTACAGATTCAACACAGCCCCTATCAGAATCCAGCTGACTTTTTTCCAGAGTAGCAAGTTGATTCTACAATTAATGTGGAATTTCAAGTAATACAGAATAGCTGATACAATGCTGGAAAAAAAAGAACAGAGGAGGAGTCACACCTTGCAGTTCCACAACTTACTGAAAAGCAGTGGTAATTACGGTAGTACAGTACTGGCACAAACACAGGCATATCAATGAATGAAAGAGAATTTTGAGTTCAGGAATAAACCCATCCTTCTATGATCAGTTGGTTTTCAACAAGGGTGTCAAGATAAACCAAAGGGGAAACACTAGTCTTTTTGACAAATTATGTAGGGACAACTAGATAGCCACATGTGAAAAGTATTAACTTGCACCCTTACCTCACACTGTGTCCAAAATAAACTCAAAATGCATGAAAGGCCTAAGTAGAAGAGCAAAAATTATAAACTACTAGAAGGGGTAAATCTTAATGATCTTGAATATGAAACCAAAAGCAACAGCGAGAAAATGAAATTTGGACCATCAAAATTACACATTTTTTGCTTCAAAAGATACTATCAAAGTGAGATGACAACTAGCAGAATGAGAAAATACTTACAAATCATATATCTGTTAAGGGGTGTATATCTAGAATACATAAAGAACCCTTACAACCTAAGAGTAAAAATTCAAATCAAAACATTATGTTATTGGCATAAAAACAGAAATGTAGCTCAATGAAACAAAATAGCCCAGAAATAAGCCTATGCAAATATGGCTAATTAGTTTATGACAAAGACATCAATAATGTACAATGAGGAATAGACAGTCTTTAATAAGTGGTATTGGGAAAACCGGACAGCCACTGGCAAAAAGAAGAAACTGGTTTACTATCTTACCCAATACACAAAAATCAAATAGTTTAACAATTTGAACCTAAGACCTGAAACCATAAAACTAGAAGAAAATAGGTATCAGTCTTGGTGATTTTTTGGATCTGACTCCTAAAGCAAAGGCAACAAAACTAAAACAAGTGGGACTACACTGAATTAAAGCTGCTCAGCAAAGGATAACATGAACAATATGAAAAGACTAGGTACCAAGTGGGAGAAAAGATTTGCCATTTAGCTGATACGGGGTTGATATCTAAAATTTATAAAGAACTCATATGAATCAATAGAAGAAAAGAAAATCTGATTTTAAATGAGCAGAGACTTTTTTTCTTAAATACACCCAGAGATTTGCAGGCCCCAGGTGTGTGACAGTTGGCTTCAGTGTGCCCTGTGCTTTTTCCTATGTGGTTAGTTCTAGGCTCAGCACTGGTGCCAGACTGGAATCTGCATTAACCTGGTGAATACCACTTGCTCCACCGTGCTAACTTCCTGAGATCTCGTCTCACCCAACTGGTGTACAGCCCTAGGCTCTTTTAGGGTCTGAGCTTTATGGGCAGCCAGCAGGTGACAGTAGACCTACAGGGTGCCCTATGCCTTTTTCTGACCTGCCCTAGGCTGGTGTCAGTGGCAGCCAGGCTCACTTCCATGTTGTCTCTTCCATGCACCTCCAGATCCAGCACAGGCAGCTACCAAACATGGACTGCTTTGTAGCTCCTACCGGGTAATGCAGGGCTGGTCACATGTGGTTGACCTTGGCCTGCACTGAAACTTCCCTGCTCCCCACCAAGACCCCAAAACCAACACACCTGGGAGCCAGCTTCAAACCACAACAGAGTACCACCCAATTAGCACCACAAGTGGCTTTTTTGAAGTGTGGGCCACAGGCAATTTCTGCTCCACGGGTCAGCCCCCACACCGTACCTCATACTCTAGGCCCAGCCAGTTCTCACAGCCAATCTGCATGAAGGTCAGTCCCATGCCAACAGCAATCAAAGCTCAACTACAGCAGGCAGACACACACAACCTACACAAGGGTTGCTCCTGGAATATCTGGCTCGGGTGATCAGGGCAATGGCACAGTGGGGCCCCACAGGACAACTAGTATATAAGGCTAATCTGCCAAGACTGGGGACATAGCAGATCTACCTAATACACAGAAACAAACAAAGGCAGCCAAAATAAGGAGACAAACATGTCTCAAACGAGAAAACTCCAGAGAAAGAATAAACAAAATGGAGGCAAGCATTCAATAGGACACAGAGTTCAAAACACTGGCTATAAGGATGTTTGAGGAACTTAGAATTCAACAAAGAGATAGTAAGCATAAAAAGGATATTGAAACCATATAAACGAACCAGTTAGAAATGAATACAATAGCTAAAATGAAATGAGCACTAAAAATAACCAAGAGCAGAAAGATGAAGCAGAGCACCAAATC